ACATCCGACAGACTTTTAATACGACAATATATTACAATTTTAATTGAAACCGTGCGCACTAGTTACGCCGGTAATGGCCTTCTTGTTACGATAACGCCGGTTGTCGCTTTTTATTTTTACTGCAAGTGTTTTTTCTTACACGACAAATAAACGAATTGAAACGATAAAATTTTGCACCACCCGGTATCTATTAAGAGACTCAAAAACAGTAATGGTTATGAGAATCAGAAGAAAGTAATAAAATCATTGTATCCTTTTTATTAAAAAAGAAAGTTCATATCTCAAACTGGAGATTAGTCGGGGAAAAACGCGTGGCAACACATGTTTCTAACAAGAAAACTTCCGGCACGGGAAAAAACCGCATTATGCTAATGGGCGCTTTAAACGTTCAAATATCCAGGAAAAGTTCGAACAAATGGATTATTTCGCGATTCAAAAGTGCACCGAACAGAAAAAAAAAGGATCCGATATTATGTCCTCCCGTCGAGGAAAGTTTCTTTCAGTGAGACGTTCGGCGGGAGCTTATTAAAGTTTCGCTAGTATAAATTTTAAATGTTCCATTACTTCTCTCTTTTAAAACTGGAACTTTTTGACGGCGATATTTCTCGGAATTTTTCCTCTTTAGCCTATAACCGGTGCAGGTGTTTCGAAAATTCGACTTTTCGCCGAAAATGCTATGCATCTCCTCGGCTAGACGTAAGTAACTACCTCAGAATATACCAGATTACGAAATGTGCTATAGTTTGGAGAATCCCTGGATATATCCAGCGGGGCATAGGCGTGCTAAACCAATTTATTTTTACTTCCACATCCAGTCGTTTCATGCTATAGCAAATGTACTCGTTTTCCTTGTACTTTAATATACTTTTTCATCAATATTTCCTTCTATTTTACGGTTCAAATATTTCATCATTACAGAAGCATTATGAAAAGAGTTTTTTTTTACAAAAATTTATACCCAAAATGCAACTCTATAATCTCGTAATTAATGCAGGAAGCTTTACTAGAGTTGAAACTAGCTTTTGCTAATTTTAATTGTACACATTCAGCATTCTTGCGCTCGTTTATGATTTTACAACGCATATTAGCAAACGTATTACATTGTTGACACGATTTATAACAAACTGCAGATTATTATCGTCGTAGGTGCGCTTTCCGGCGTGAAAAATAACAGTTCCGCAATATTAAGTCTGCAGCAGTCGTACGCTTGGCGCGACGCCAGCAGGAAGAAAATGCACCAAATATAGTTTATTTAAAAAAATTATTTACTATCCGTTTCTTCGGAATAGCCGCTTTGATAACGCGGTAATTAAGCTTAGATAATTCAAGCGCTTCTTATTAGAATAAATTGGACTGTTCCCTAAAATTAATCCTATTAAAGTATGTACATATATTCAACTAAGTCCGCAGAAGGGTAGGTTTCGCGAACTTCGTCGAAAGTAATGCAAGATATATTATAACATAATAGTTTTAGTGAATAACAGTAAGACATTTCCACGAATGTTCGAAGTTGGCTTAAGTTGTACGAAGTTATTAGAGCTTTGCAGTTGGACAGAATAAAATAACTAGGTTTATAGAAAAGGCGTTCTTACACAATCGATGGAAACACGACAGTGTATATTATTCACAAGTAAATTAGTGGGTATTTTTACTGAGTAAGTAGGTAAGTACTCACATTTGTTATATAAAAATCTCGTATTTTTTTCGATTTGTATGTGCATTAACCGTCCAGAGCAGGTTTTAATATGTTTAAATGCCTAACGAAACGCACAAGGTAAACAAATAACATATCCTGGTGAATATACGCGAAAGGCTAATCTCGAAAAATGTTTATTCTCTCCACGAAAAAAAAAATCGAGCCATGAGTTAAACGAGAAAATATTGGACTCATATTTTTCGTCGAGTATCTCCCGCTTTGTTTTTAATTTCCTAGTAAACGCCGTTCCGTTCGAAATTTCTAAATTACAACGCAATTAACCTAATCAGTATGTCCCAGAAAAAGGATTTCCGCTGAATAAATAAATTGTTGAATTTTTTCATAAAGCAAATGCATTGCAAATTTAACGAGAGCCGAGCATACAAGTGGGCATGTCTTTACTGCACTGCAGGATAAGCTGCTCTTGCGAAATAAATATGCAAATCTTCCTGCTATAAACGTCAAAATGCAACTGCTGCCTGGAATTTCGATCAATACAATTTAAAATAATCATGTTCGAGAAACGAAGTACCCCATACATATCTATGCACTGTACAATAAGTAGCTAATAATATGCTATGTACTTTATTATGAGTAAACTTTACCGCTAAATTTTTGAAGTTTGTTAGATGATTTACCCGCTCGTGGCGTGATTTCATATTCACGTGTTATCACACAAGTGTATCGCGTTATAAATTAGGGACCCTTTGACCGTCCGCCGTCCCTCGGGATCCTCCCGTGTAGCGTTGCCTTTCCCGAGCCGGATTATAGTTTACCCTTTAGAGATGTTCATTCCGAACGGGGCATTATTACCTTACACATAATTATGTGCAGGATGTGTGATAAAACGCATTAAAATCTTTGAGTGGGGTTTTTTGCGAAAAACGTTACCGAGAACGAAATATTTTTTTTGTTTTTAAATTTTGGAGGAAATGCCATGCTTCCGCCAAAATTTTAAAAAGTGTAGGATCATATATTGCAAAGAAATTTGCACTTATACCCATGCATACAAACTACATAGATTTAAATCATATTCATTTGGTAGAACTCCCCCAATTAATACAATTTGCCTGGTATAAATTCTGTTTACCAATGTTATTCGAATACTTAAAATCCCCCAGCGCAATACAATAAAGAACGCAATTGTGTATATTACAAAACTTTTAGCGTGTCCTTAAATAGATTTGAACACCGACTCTTACACGAAATATTACCTGTCACTTACTAAAGTCTTGAACAAATTAAAGTGTCAACCCTCGTCACGGCGCCTATTTGAATCTATAACGTTTCCTCCTTTTTATATATACATGTCCAATTTTTTGCCCGTTTCTAATTGCGGCGGAATCGTGTGCGATGCGTTTCGTATTATATATTTAAACGACGGACGTCGAATCGAAAAACTCCCAGGCCCGCGCAGCGCCACGACGGACGCTTAACTTCTGTCCCCGAGAGTGAAGGCCCAGCGACAAGGGTCGCGTCCCGTTAAAATACCATTTCGGAAATTGTTCGACCGAACCAGCAATTCCGGGGAATATTTGTCACGGACCCGCCGCGGATGTGTCTTTGTTTAGTATTTTTATCGCAAAATATCATTCTTTTTTCATGCAGAATCACCCCCTGAACACCCTGTATAACAAGTTGGGGGGGCAATTAAAATAAATGCAAAAATGAATTTGCATTTCGGTATATTCGATTGCTGCAAATTGCCCCCGATGCGGGCGAAACGTATATCGTAAATCTATCGGCTATTTGCTATCGAGATTTCGGCGGGGTACATGCACGAACCGGCATGAAAGTGGTGTGTTATTTGCGTTCGGGCCGGCCCCGCCCGTTTTCGAATTATACATTCGCGTTAATCGCGCAAAAGTATGTCGGGCCGAATGTGTATTGTATGCCGCCCCTGTTTATTAGGGCCGTAAAACGCTTTAACGACGTCCATATACGGAAGATTTGCGACTACAATTAGATCGTTATTTATTCGGTATATTCATAAATGCCGGTCACGATATTGTCGATTGTCATCTTTGATTAGAATATCAGCCGCGCTATAGACTCGGATTCGATGTATAGAATTATTTAAATTTTAGCTATTAAGTTCAACACTATTCTCTAATATGTTACCACAGAACATTTACGAACTCATACAAATTTGGAACACCTTATACAAGTATACCAAACACCATAAAATTACTGCGTTGATAAGCCAAAGTACAGCAAATCAAGGGGTTGAATCAATATCGCGTGGAAAAAAATTGATAGTCGATTACATCGGCGATTTCTCCATCGTAATATTTTGTGTTGGCGTTCGCGCTCCGCCAGGTAAAATATTCAGTTATTCAATTACGTTCCTTTTCGTAACACCATGTTATTTAGACCGACGCGCGGTTGATTACCCTTCTTCGACGTAAGCCGATATTAAGGGCCGAACACGCGACGTCTTGCCGTATTTCCGGATGTTCTTCGCGGCGCTTTTTCCCTTATTCCTTCTTCGCCGTTTTCGTTGCCAGCGCGAGCTACAGTTATTATATTTTTTTTTTTTCGGTTAAAGTAGATATCATTTTGGCTGATGGAATCGAGCCAACTGGAGGACTCGTACCGTACTTGTAATACAGCCATTTCGCATGGAATTTATATGGGGTGATTAATTCTAGATGCTCGCGTGCTTGTCACTCTTCTCGAGTATTTATTACTCGGTTGTTACGGTCGCAATAAAAACGCGCTATTTTTTTCAACCAAGCAATCGAACTGGAATTGAGTTAATTATTCAAAACTATAATAGTGTCGTAACGCAACCGGTCGAGACGTTGATCCCAGGCTAAACTCAATCAGAAACGTGTAAGGAACAGAGAAACCGCCTTTGATTAGAAACTTCCCTCCCCGAAACGCCTCGCTAACCAAAATCAAACTCACCAGACGCCCATCGGAATCGAACGGCATTAAAGTTGGTGATTAAAATTACAGCTCCTAACTTACATATAACAATCTTAACGAATTATATTCGCGCCCTTTCTGTCCAGGAACGTATTTCATCACCAACACAATACCAATAACTCGAGTCAAATATGGATAATAGAAAATACTTATTGAAACCTAAAGGGATGATAAAGAATAAGTTGAGATTATAAAGATTTATAAATCATATAGGAATTTCTATTAGGATAGAGAATTAGTGAGATCATAAGAAATTGTGTGAAGATCAATTGTGAGAAACATTGTGTAGAGAATAATAAATGTTAGAGAATGGGATTTGACTCTAGCTCGAGATTCGAATTGGAATAATACGCGATAAGTATAATAGATTACAATGGACCCGAGTTTAGAGTTAGTACGTTCCTGGCGATTAAATATTGTCAGACGTACAGTTATTGTTCGAGTTCGGTCCTGGAGGTCGTTCGCACCCCGGCGACTTGGATATCGTAAAACCGGGGGAATTGTAGTTAAACTATGTTTCCATTATGCGTCCAATTTGGACGGGCGCCCTTTGTCGGACCGATATAATTGTTGCGAAGGTATGTCGAAGTTTTGTATCGCGAAGTTCCGTCCATTCGGTCGTTTTTCCGTGCCGTCGCACACCCTCTTTTTCCGGACGGCGAAAAATCCCCCAGCGGTCGTATCGAAGGGATTCCTCTATTTTAATTTTCCGCTGGTTTCCTACACGTTTTCCTTCTATTAAAAATTCTATCACTACTATATACATTTCGACACATTACTATGAGGTCGAAAATTAAAAAACCTTGTACGAGTTGCCCACACTACATTTTGTTCATTCGTATATTTTTTTTTCTTGTAATTGCAGTTTCGACGTGAGGGGGAAGCCCCTGTCGCAGGCGCGCCACTGGTCGGCGCCGGAAGTGTTCGGCTCCAGGGCCTACTTCCGCACGGTATCCGAGCCGGCGCAGCTCGTCATCGACGACATCCGGCGTCGCGACGAAGGCGTCTACCGGTGTCGAGTGGACTTCAGGAACGCCCAAACCCGCAGCTTCCGCTACAATCTCACGGTCATCGGTGAGTAAAATCTCGTTTAGCTCGATTACATTCCCGCGAAATCTTATAAATAAACCGGCCGTCTTGATCGCGAGAGGGCTTGTCACTTGTCACTTGTCGATTCGTTAAGTCCACCTGTCAATTATTCAAGCCCGCTGGGATAAGCTGCATCTTGATCGCTCGGAAACTTGTCACTTGCAGACTTGTTAAGTACTTGCGATCTGTGCTAATGTACTAATTAGGCGATTATAATAATTAATACGATTTAAAATTGCAAGGAGAGAGTTTCGAATCAGCGTAAGTGCGAATGTTCCGAGAGATAGATAAATCACCGCCTTCCTAAACACATATTCATGAACGAAACAAACTCTTTAACCGTTCGGAAAGAATTAAGAGAAAAAGATTAATCGTTCCCCGGGAGGAGTTTAAATTAGGAATTGCTCGGAATTTATTTAGGTGCGCGTTTGTTCATTTCGGATTTTTTCGATTTGATTGTCCAACTACTATAAAGCTGCAGGGGTGATCGATTGAATAAACCTTTCTAATTTTAAGTCTAAAAAAAATAATAGACTGATCGCGTGCTAATGAAGCGTTCGCAGCACCTTGTTTATAGATCAATAAATTGATCAGCTTAACCCATGTGATTTAGTTTGTGCTTGAGTCGAGGCGTATAGTGACATCGAGAGCTCCATCTGGAGTTAGAGCGGGCCACTTAAAATAAAGCATCGTTCGCGTAAAACCCACTTTTCATAAACAAACCCCACTAAAAGCCGGTAATTAAAACCGGCTTATTCGCTCTGACGATGAACGGCTTTACCGAAACGCGATTCGTTATTAATGCATTTCAATTTGTCGGGCTTCGATCTTCGTATTAATCATTTTCGCGGAGCGGGGGGGCCGGCGTACCGAGAGGGGGCAAATAATAAATTTTAAGCCCTCTTTGTTTTCCGCGTATCCCCGGTATCGGGATATGATCGATCGGTTTTGGAGGGATTAAAATTTCGCGCCGTGCGGAATTTGACGTGAACGACTGTCGACGGGAACGGAAAAGGAGACTTTCCGTGGATAATAAATCGCCGACGCGGATTTGGAATTGCGCTCGACCGACTTCGATTCGCAGCCGTTAGAACGACAATGCGGGATATAATAAATTCCCTTTGAATTATTTACGGCGGATTAACGAAACCGACTAATAAAATCACCTAATTGTTCCGATTAGATATACCTAAATAATATTATTAATATATCACTCGCGAGGCGTCAGTTTGCGCTACGAATTGAGATTTCCCAGAGTTGAATTTCTGAATTGGTAATGGAGCGCCGTCGATCTAAATCGAATCTTTAACTGCTTTCGGTAACAAACAAAGAGAAGGAAATAATCAGGATAATTTGTCGGATTGCATTTCGGAAGTGGTTTTTGGTTTTTGTTCTTTCCGTTCGATTCCTTATTGGGGTGGAAGTCGTCGAGGAAAAAAAGCAGAAGAAGAAGTCCGCAGTATAGGCTCGTTTAATTAGCTAAATTGAGTTTTTTTGCTCGGGCTATCGAAGGAATCGCAGGATCGTCTTACAGCAGTAAATTAGGGAGTTCTTTTAGGACGAATCAAAATGATTTTTTGTAGGCTAATTGATTATTTAAATGAATATATAATGAAATGCAGTTTCTACATCACATCAATTCATTTTGCAGTATTTGGTAATTCTTAAGCGTACGATAATAAAACGAAAATAAAATCGCAACTGTATATAGAGTTGGTTCATTAGCATTTACCGATATCGCCGCAGTTTACAAAAGCATTCAAATGAAAGGTTTTTGATTCCAGCGAATACACTTTTTACTCTATGCCGGCGTATTAGCATTGTTATAAATTATTCACTTATTCGCATATACATCTAATACGACTAAGATTGTCATGAATAATTCACCGTAACAACGAAAAGAAAACCTCTCCGTCGAAGTTTCCGTGCCGTTAGGGCGTTCTCGAGTTTTAATCGAGCGCGGATTCGAAACAAACCTATTCATAAATAATTCATTTTTGTAATTTTTCCGTTTCGATTACGCATTTCGTACTGCATGCAGCGTCTGCATACACATCCTCATTTCCATTATATTAATGAGACCACAACTCGTGATTTTCATTCGAGAGTTAGACTAGCGTTATTTTTGCTGTAGCTATACACTCGGCGAACAAAAACAACGCAAATCTAATAGTAATCGTCGTTTACCATTCCCCCAACGGATTTTGATTAATCTAAAAAAAAAAGAATTCGTTTTGTGAGCGCGCACTCCGCATATTTTCAATATCATATGATATTCCATATAAAAGCGTTCATATCCCTTTTATATTCATTGTTGTTTTATTTACTCGCTTCCGAAGCGTCCATTGATAAAAATCGACATTGGAAACCTTTTTCTAAATTGGACCCATACATAAAGATACCCGTGGAAACATAGGCGGGGAAGAACTATTTTTTTGACACTATTCGTGATGAATAACACTCTAATTACAGCTCTAGCTCGATTCAAACTAAGATAATTCTCCAATTTCATTGCTTGAAGGTACAACGAACTTTGTGAATATCGCACTAGAATTTAAGTAAGGGTGAAATAGTATCGACAAAAAATCGTTTCTCTGTGTCACTGATGGGGGATTTTCGTTAGGGGATTTTCCGTATAGAGAAACAAACCCGAAATGAAGCCCGGGATGTACGCGTGCATTTCGATGGATGGAAAAGGAAAAACGGATCTTTGGTTTATGCTGATGGAGTTAGGGAAAATTCCTGACGAATTTGCTAGAAACCAACCTTCACAAAAATATGCCTTTTCCATCCGAAATTGGTATTAAACAATTTGGGATCTACTCTCAAATTGATGTCGTTTAGTCCTAAATTTATGACGGTACGGTTTAATTGAATTTGTTCCAAATAGGGAGGAAATATTTGGGATTTTTCTGGTTAATGCTGTAAAAAAACTCCACCGGAACGTGACTAATCAGTACGGAGAAAAACGTAGCGAGTTAATGTGTATCACACGGATTTTGGGAGTGATCCCATCGACAAATCGCATTTATTTTGAGCTTGTGCTGACCTCGACGTCTTCGCCACGAACTGATTGGATTTCCAAACACTTTTACCGAATAAGAAATTAGATATTTCCAATCCTGCGACGATTCTCATGATGGCGTTTCACGATATAATCGCCCCATTAACACTAAACTACACCTTCTGGAATGTTAACTACCCTATAAGAGATCTACATTAAAACCCCCCAACTTCGAAGCCCCATCGAACGCTCTTAAAATACTCCATAAAACTTTAGCGAGCAACTAATGTACCTACGCGTTATAAAATAAAAAATCGCTTTTCTCCGCCGATTCGAAAGGTTAATGCGAGATAATTACATCGTAATTACCCCCGAGTAACTAAAGTTTCGCGTAATTATTTACCTATACGAATCAACGACGCGGCTGACAAATGATGATTTAGAAAGTTCCTTGGGAAATTAAAGGGATTCCCCGATAAATCATTGGAAACGTCAAACGCTAAATTTAATTCCGGAGTTTGTATCTCCGCCGCCGCGCGCGTCTCGATAGAATTATAAATTATTTGGCGGTCTCGAAAATGGAATTTGAAAACTGGATATCTTGTAATTATTCACGACGCGATACAGAGCCGATGCCCCGGAGCATTCCGGCGAGTTTGCATAGGTGCACTCCGGAACGTAATACACAGTTAAACGAAATTCAATTATTCAACGGTTAATTGATTGTTTGCATTCGTGGTACAAATTCCTGCCCGTCCGAAACTCGTTCAACTTTGACTTGGTTATAATCATTTATGGTTATTTATTGTCGAATGGTTATAATTAAATTATTTCCTAATTGTAATTTATCGAATTGTCAACATATTCAACGCAATATTAAATTGCAATGAAACTATTTGCAAAGAAAATTCAATCCTACAAATCCTGCAGCAAATCAAGGATAAATTGCTAGCAGTGTATTATAATGAGAGCAATCTAATATAAACACTTGTTGCATAAATCCATCTATGCTCGCAAAATAAATATATATCGTAAGGATTTCCAAAGGAAATGTTCCCGTAGTTTAACCGGGTCGAGCATCAATCGGTGTATTACCCGACCGATACAGCGATTCGAGTATTAAGTGGAAATATTTCCTAAAATAAATTTTCCAAGATTGAATGGCGAAGCGACCGAGCGCGTCCCGGCGCATGAATTGAAATTGATACCGGGATAATGGACGTTCGATGGAAAACCGGACCGAAATGATTTAATGGCCGATGTATCGGCCGTATTTCGCAAATAAGAAAATCGACTATCGGCTAATTAGGGATTTATGATTCGATTTTCGTAAAGTTTTTACCTACTCCTCTGCAGGATTATAAAATGTTAATGAGCGCCGCCGTCTCTATCATAGCAAAAGTTTCGCTCTAAGAATAGAGGAGACTTACTTCTTACTTAATAGCTGAGCTTTATGCATCTTTTATGATTTAAGTAGATACACAAGAGTTCAACGAACGGTTAGTTCAAAATAAGTTTTCCACCTCTCTTTTATTTATCATTGTCGGTTGTGTTTGGTTTGATAAGCCTAATTAAAGTTTCAATCCTCTCAGGAGTTTTTACTGAGCACTTAAATTTTCGCTTTATTACACTCTTAATACAAGCAAAACGTAATTAAAAGCTAAATAATAAACAATCTAGGATGTTACAGAGGGCGTTAAAAGCAGTAGTACATTAATCCTATAGAATGTTGTAATATTGTAGCGAAATCGCGACAATGTAAGAGGCCAGTTTTTGCGTCAATAAAAAGCACACCTTAAGACATTAAACCCGAATCCGATTTTTGAGGTGAAAGGACTCGCGAGCGCTGAAGATATCATCGGATTTATCGCGTCGTCAAACGCACATTAAAGTAAACGAAAACTCCCGAGACGGGAAATCGGCCGGCATATTTTCCTGGAAACGAGCGCACCTAGAAATAATGAAAATATCCATCCGGCACGGAGATTACCAGCGAAATCAATAAGGACTTCATTACGGGATCTCTAGCTTCGAAGGATTACGAGCGCGCCCTCTCTTATTCTTGTAATCCCCTTCGGAGATTCGAGGGAGAACGTGGACAAAAGCAACGGGGTTGATAAAATTTCCTATTGAAATATATTCACCACTAAATCGATTTATACCAATAAACAATAAATTTAACAGTTTATTATCACTTAAAGAATGGATAGATACATCTGTTAGAGATATAGTATAGAGTAAGGTGGAATTTAATTAAGTTAGTTTACTTAAAGACCTTAATGGTCGGGAAATAAGCTCGTTACAGTTAAGGGCATAAAGTAAACGTCTAAAGGGGAAAGGGCGTAAATCCCTTTCCGCATGCCCTTCGCGCTCCGCCGAGGAATTTCTTAATATGCGACGAACACGAAACACTATTCAATTAATCCGATGACCGTGCAAAAAGTGCCGTCGCCGAAGCTCCGTTCGACTCCTGCGGTCGTCATTACTGGGCCGTAATTATAGCTAACAACTGCGCGTTGCAGGAGGGAAAAAACGGCGGCGAGAAATCATTAAGGGTTCTTAATACGAGGGTGTTTTCATGCGTTTGTTGATGACGATGCTGTATATGGCGCAGGGAGATTAAGGAATGATTGTATTGAAGCTATGCACTCTCTATAATATAAAATTCTCGAGCGAATAAAAATAATTCATAGATAAAGAGTGGGTATTTTTAGAAATTCAAGCAGGAGTAAAGGCGTAGAGGTGCATGTGCAGCGAAGCCCGTTTCGAAAATTGATATTTGTTGCAGTTGATGTTTCGATCGACTTGGCGAACTGAGCCGTTGCCGGCGACCCTTGGGAATCCCCGGAATTGGAAATTACTAAGACCTAATATTCTCTTTTAACTCCACTTCTGCTACGATAAATTTCATTTGAGCAGTTCGATTTATCGCTGCTACGTATTGTTCTGTTTCGGCGATTTAATCTTTTCGTTCTTTGCCGGAGTCGCTCGGAGTTGGAGCTGCCGGAATGGCGTTTCCTTTTTTTTCGAATTTACAACGATCGTGAAATCCAATTATTCTACTCAGTCGCATATTTAGTTATTTAAAATCGCCTTTTCTATCGAGAACATCGGAATCCCTTTGAGACGGATTTGATGTAATTCGCAGAATAAAGTTAAGAAAATTTACTTCAATTATTTTTCGATTTTCTTCTTGGAATAGTACGATAATTTCTAAATTGTTGAAGAAAAAAGGAAATTAACTTTAAGCGAAGTACTAATGAAATTAGTTTTTTTTTTCGTCGAAGAAACCGTAACGCTGCCGGTTTTATTACGAGATGGGATTCCTGGTTTTCGTTGCACTTTGCAATCATCCTGGGGTTTCCCGGAAAATCCGAAAACCCGGCAAAAAAGTAGGTCAGGAAAAATATATTGTGCAAGAAATAACTTCGAGTGTCGGTAATTCCGCTGGAAATTTTCCCCGTTACGTATGCACATATTTTCCCTTGCTTCCTTGAGTACTGCTTGAGGATTTTTAGGGCCGCAAAATATTGTTATTTATTTGCTATTCCTACGGGAATGCTGAGAGCCAAAGTTGAACAAACATGTGGTTTTTATGCAGGATTATATCTGGAAATGCCCAAACTGGGAGAAAAATATATTGAATTAATTCATAACCTAATAAAAACTAGTGCAAAATTTAATCGATTAATTATTTAGTTAATTAATTGTCCCGTGGAATTATGAAATTACAAAAAATTTGTATAAAAGAAGGTATCCGAAATCTAATGATGATTAAACGAGGAGCGAGCTTGCGGTAAACAATTTATCAACTTTATTCGAAAAGTCTATTCAATGTTATACCGTAACAGATAAATAGAAAGCCGGTTTCGAAGCAAAGCGTTTCTGGTAATTAAATATTAATTTAAGAATCATTAATTACGAAGATAAATGACCCCTTTAAAATATTAATTAAGTGAAGGGTGGGCGATCTTAAATGATGCCGCCGATTTTTTTTAATCCTCGATTCCTGCATCTTCCTCCGCATCCCCGGTAACAAATTCGAGTAACACAAACGATTTGACTTACTCTTAAAAGATTGGTTTTTGCATGTAATCATTTCAATCCCGCCACTTTACCCATCATAGCAATTCTTTTTAACCTTAGAAAATCATAGGCAATATTTTTTCGCTTCCAGTTCCACCGGAACCACCGACCGTCCTGGACAAATGGGGCAGGCACCTCAACAAAACCATCGGGCCCTACAACGAAGGCGACGACATCACGCTGACCTGCCGCACGGTGGGCGGCCACCCGACGCCCGTCGTCCGGTGGCTGGTGAACGGGCTCATCGTCGACGATGAATTCGAGCACAACGCCGGCGACGTCATCGAGAACATCCTCACGTGGCCGGCCATCCGCCGGAAGGACCTCGACGCGCTCTTCACCTGCCAGGCCGTCAACACCAAGCTCACCGAGCCCAAGGAAGCTTTCGTCGTGTTGAAGATTAACCGTAAGTCAGAGATAGGATTCGGCATTCAAAATGGTTAATTCCGACGCGTTTTGACAGTGCGACCTTTGACTGCTGAGATAATGGAGGTGAAAGGACCTCTGGTGGCGGATAAGCGGTACGAAGTTACCTGCCAGTCGGCCGGATCTCGTCCTCCTGCTATAATTACTTGGTATAAAGGCAAGCGCCAGTTAAGAAGGACGAAGGTAAGAGTTTTTATATGTAATTTGATGAATCTCTAAATTCCTTAAATAATCGAAGAGATTGAATATTGACTCAATTGTGTAGTAATTCCATTGACAATTGACTCATTTGACTATTAACTCATTTGCCTATTAACTCATTTGCCTATTGATTCCATTAACTATTGACTCATCTGTCTATAAATTCCATTAACCATTGACTAATGATTTCTCTATTTATTCCACTGACTATTGATACATTTCTCTATCGATTCCATTGACTAATTGATTCAATTGACTATTTACTTAATTGTCTATTGACTCAATTGACTTTTGACAATGCATATTAGTACCTATAGGTACTAGAAATCAATTAATGATGGGTTGTTGGTCGAGAAGGCGCCGGGTTGGTGGAATTTAATTTAAAAAAAAAGCAATCGCCGGAAGTGGCGCATGAAATTGAAAACTTTTCAAGTGGCGCAATGTTGAAACAATGTCACATGTATCGGGTATGGGAGTTTAAAAAGCTCGACGAAAGTAATATTTACCAACACGCGAAATATCAATTCTGTCGTGGGTCGATAACCGTTCGAAATCCCTGAACTACTTTCGTGAAGTGCACAATGTTATCGTGAAATTTACATTCCGATAAAAAAATCTTAATGTAAGGGTTGTTGCTCGTTGTTGCGCTAAAATAAGTTACCCAACGCGTCTCCTAATTAACAGATTTAAAAATTTTTATTTGAAACTAATGAAGCTGTTTTTTTAATAATCCAACCTTTCAAAAAACGCTCCTATTAGCTGCTGAAAAAGAGATAATAACTAGGTAAAATAGGTATGGAAAAAGTGGACGCGTTGCAATCGAATGAAACGTTTCCATCGTATTTAATTAGCGCAAATGCAATGATTTATTCGAGCAGATCATTTTTCCATACGCCCAGATTAATTTATAGGAATTTATCATTGCCGTGCGTTTATGTTGAATGATGAGTTTCGGGCAATCTCCCATAAAATAGTACGAATGTAAATCACGCCCGTGGAATAATTGCAACTGAATATAACCGTTTGCGAATACGTTAATGCCGTGTATTGTTAAGTACGGAAGCTTCGATACCTGCTTTTTTATTCGAGAAATTCAATTTTACTTGACTGGTTGTTTATAAAAAAATTGCTTCCTGTCGATGAATCTAATTTAATTCACCCTCGCTGTTTCCGTAGGATTTATCCGATGTTTCCTCGAATTTTTCTGTAGTGAACAATCTAAATCGATTAACCGATTTTGTTTGTTTTCTTTCATGTTAACGTAGGTATAGGGAAAAAATCCCCGGAAAATGAGCTGTTCGATCTGCCGCCTAAATACATTTGCAACATGTATTTCTAGTATTCGTGTGATTGATGGGGATATCGGTTGGACATTTTATTTATTAGCTTTATGAATAATATCTGATTCCGACCGCGGCCGCAACGAATTTAATTTATTTTATTCCGGCACGGAAGCGAGATTTATTAAAAAAAAGCAGGGCGTAATTGGAAAGAAAAAGGCTTTTATCGGCTCTGATAATCCCCTCTGTGTGCTTTTGCTTAGTCTAGACTTTCACACATTTATAATAAAAGTTTGTAGTATGCATTAGGAAAAAAAAGGATTAGGTCGTAATTCCAAATTATACGAAACAAACTTAATTCACGTCTCTATCTCGGAAAAAACTGCGAAACTTTGTAGCAAAATATTTAAGTAAAAAAATACAAACGAGATAAAGCTCGGAAAACGGGCTTTTTATATGCAAATTACGGAACCGTTTAAACTGATAGAGTTCGATATCCCGAAAGTGTATTAAAGGTATATCTACGCGGGCCCCACTCTCCGTTATTACTGCTAATATTGGCGTTTCCCTAAACTATTTAACTATTCCAATTTGCAGAGTGGGTAAATTCGTTTATAATTTCCCTTCTGAAGGCGGAAAGTGTTTACAGTTCGATTCGATTGATATATCGAAGCGACGGATCGACCTTTAATAAAAGATTTGCAGAGGTGGATTATTTAATTAAAAGTTACGCTTACCTACCGGCTATTAGATGGAAATTAATTCGAATAACATTACAATTAACTACCTGCAAAATATTTACAGATTGTCCGCATGCATGTACAGAATCATAATTCACAACAATTTCCATGGATTTAAATAATTGCGCTAATAGTGGAATCGTTCGATTCCGTGCTCGGTGAAATTTTCCTCGCCACGGATTTTCCGTCACGTCGACGGTCTGGTAGCCGTTTTGTAAAAGCAGTAACCGGTCTTAACTCACTTATTGTTACGACCTCTCGACTTTGCCGGTGCGAAAATAAATGAGAAATTATGGAGCGATTAATTTGAATTTTAAATCGACCAGATTCGTCGGAAAATCGCAGAAGAAACGGAACGTTCGAAATTAAAGTTTTTCTACTCTTTTTCCGCGCCGCGTATTGATTTATGCTCTCGGTATGTTTGTGTTATTAATATCGCTACAGATTTTCCGTGGTATTTTCGTTATTAATCGCAGATTAACGCTTAAGTTAATAAATTATCGAGCTGTCATAAACAAACCGAAGTTCTCCTTGCATTAATCGTCCTTTCTTATTCTAATTTCTCGGCTGAATTCCGAACGCCGGAGTAAACTTTTCGCTTTTCCGCGGCCAGTATTTAAATGAAAACTGCATCGGCGGTTTTAACCGAATTAAAAAACGTAAAATCGTTGAAAACTTATGATCCCTTCGTGAGACGCCCAAGAATTAATTGGATTCGAAAGCGTAATCGAAATTCGTGTTTCTAACAAAAAAAATCAGAAATTTAAATATCTTTCCGTTATTCCCGCAACGTCTTCGATAAATATTTGAACAAACTCGCGGCGAAAAAGAGAGAGCTGTTGTTATAAAAAGCATGTAGTAATAGATGTATTTTATTTCGGCAGGAGGAAACACGAGAAAACGTAACGATAAGCGAGTTGAGTTTCGTCCCGACGACGGAAGATGATGGAAAATCCATAACATGCAGAGCAGAAAATCCAAACGTCACCGGCCTTTTCCTGGAGACTTCGTGGAAAATCGACGTAGTGTGTAAGTAGACTTTAGCAGGAACATATTTATTTTCTCCAGTTCCCCGCTCGTTTTTCATTTGTTGTTCAATGTTTAATTTTTCAGTACTTGCATGGAAAATAATTGACATGCTTAGTACCTAATAGAGACAGAAACTCCTTCGGTTAGTTTAGCTTAATCGAAAGGGACCTTTCGCGAAAACGAAGAAAAACGACCTCCAAGAAACTCGAATCAATTTTCCCTGGAATACAATTCCCACGAAACTTCCAGAATCTGTTCATTTCCTCAAGGAATGTATTGTTTATGAAAACAGAGTGTCCATGGTGGTTGACGCCTAAAGCCCTGTTGTTTGGTATATAATTCCTCAAGTAATAAAACACAAACAATAAAAATTCAAAGTAACTAAATTAAACTCTTAAGTAGCTGTAATAAATTGCTTATTTTCCTAAGTATAGAAAAATAGGGAATCTATATAGCAACCTATTGAAATTCAAAGAAATTTGCTATTTCTGAACATAATAAACCAAACAGCATTGGTGATCCTGTCGAGTAGTTCATCGATGATTTATCCCGTGTAACTCGAAGGGCTTTTTGTCCATCTTCTCGTGACTCCGCAGCGCCGCGACGCTTTCATTGTTCCGTCTTCCAGATCCCCCCATCGTGACGCTGTGCCTGGGGAGCACCCTCAATCCGGACGACATCAAAGAAGGCGACGACGTGTACTTCGAGTGCCACGTGACGGCCAATCCCGTTTGGAGGAAGCTCACCTGGCTACACAACGTAAGTGTTTCCATTATTGTTTAGACTGGCTCAAAAATACCGATCGACTGGATGAATGGAAAACGATCAGTCAACCGCAGCGCGTTCGTTTCTCGTTTAATAATTTTCCAGTTGCCTTGCCGTTACATAACCCAGTCTGTTATGTTTTTAGCATCTGCCCATCCGCTGACAGAAACTGGTGCTCGCCTTAAATGCGAACGAACGGTCACAAACATCGCCCTTCGAGCCGACAAGGGTGGAACATGTTCGGGTTTTTCCCATCGACTCGTTTTCGGTAGAAAAAAAATTACTTCAAATCAGTCGGTTAAAGTTCATATAAGTTCATATAGATGTAATCTTTCGAGTGAATTAGGCTAAGTACAATTCGGTTAAGGGCATTAAAATTCATGAAAGCCGCGGTCAAAGGTTTCCTGTTGTTTAATTTTCATTTCTGAAAACGGCGCTTCGTTTTTATATTTATATAAATAGTGGGTTGGCTTTAATTTTCAAAGAGTTAAAAGCAGATTCGCTGATATAAAAACGGAGATATGAAATTGAAAAGTCCCATTAGCGAACGGTTTTATTACTCTAATGGATTTTGTGCACTCTCTTTAATTAAAATTCCCGATAATTTTTCCTTTTGTTTCCGGACAACAAGACGAAGGAAAACGTCGAAATAAAATCGAGTGAATAACCTACAAATATCAAGGGGTTAATATGAATTCGAAGATCGGAGTTTAGCGATAAGAAACGGTAAAAAGTAGAGGAAATGGGAAATTATGTTTTCCGAACAAATTTAATTTCGGCTCTACTCACACAAGAAATCGCATTTGCATAATCAGCAGTAATTTTTCACGAACATCCGATAAAATACGAGCAGGTTTACAGATGTTCTGCTTCATTTTCATATCTGGCAGGAGCATTCGCGCCGCGCTTCCTCGATGGATATTATGTACAGGATTATTTATAGGTTTTTATTATGCCTAGCCGGGACGAAATTTCGAAATTTAATTAAATGCATAAATTTCCGAAGAGTATCGGCGGAGTAGGAAAATTGATACGCGGTTTATAATATACCTACTTTAAACGGTAATTTTTATCGAACGCCCGAAATTAATATCGCCCTATGGAACCGAATCATAAATAAATTTCTAGCCTCGAATTATTTTCTCTCGAGATTGAATTTTCTATTACTTACTATAACTAATTTCGTAAATTGTTTATGGTGCAATATATTTCATTAAAAAATAAGTAAAATCCCAGGATATTCCACCGGCTGCAGATCCTATATTGCTCATAATAAACATCACGTGTGACCGTCCGTTGAAATCAGCAATAAAAGACCCCTGTATATGCACAGACATTTCTAAATTCGTACGAACCGAAGAGCAAATAATCCAACGGGAAAACGCTTACATGAAGTTAACCTACGTTGGCAGTTTACTCCGGCCGTATATATCAAGGATTTGGCCCGATCGGAGATGATCAGCTGTATTGACATCAGATGCTACTGACGTTTTCAAAGTAGCTTACATTATGTTTCGGTTTTTACGGCCTGTCTCCGCTGGTTTGTCGCAAACAAAAAAAATATACCGCAAATACACGACGCGTGTTTTCGAACGCAGAGCCGTTCAAAGGAATATTTGCGTTTCTTTGTGCGTTTATAAATAACTGATTACTGTTTATCCGGGTGTAATCGGAAAAGAGGATGTTTATCGATGATTTTGGTTGGTTTGTAGAATGATTCGATAATAATTGTTTACGAGATATGTATATTCCAGGATAGTGATTGAATTAATGATTTTTGTAGCTAGCAACTTTTTTATTTTACCGATACATAAAATTATCATCTCAAAGTCATCCAGTAATCGAGCGGATAAAATTGGATCGCTCGATATTTGTGATTGATGTATTAGTTATAATCCCGTTAAAAGCGCGCTTTGTAAGAGTAAAAGTCTCCCGGAATTCTCCCGCCGGAGTCGGATAATAATCAGTAAATTGTTTCCTGCTTTATGATACACGCGGAATTTTTTGCCATCGCCTTATCCAGCAGTAATTCCGTTCCGCCAAAGAAATTCCTCCCGACCTTTTCCACAAAAGGTCCAACGGAAAAAAATTACGTATCGAAGCTATTAAGAGCCACATTGTCAGCGCGATATTTTCCGGATTTTCCTCCGCGTAGGATGTACGAGCGAACGGCGACATCTTTCAGAGCCATCCGTTCCTTCTGTTCGTTCATAGTTCATTAAGCTTTTCTCTATTCCCCCGTCTACTCTTTATCAATCTATGACTATCGATCCGCTTCGCTCCATAACTTCCACATTATTGTACTAAACTCGATAATCGGTTATGTGCCCAGAGGACGTTTCGGAATGAAATTGGGACATTTTTCTAATGAGACACGAGAAGAATTCCTGAAAAATCAGCTAACTGTAAAGCAGCTAGTAACAATAATTGACTGGTTAGTTGAGTGCAACGTTGTAGATATATTTTGAATAATAATCATTTGATATATGAAGAATTCTCTGGTAGATTTTTATCTGCGAGAAAATTGCATGGGAAAAACGCGTAAATGGATATAATAGGTATTGAATGATTTTAAGTTCAGAGGAAAACATGCGCTTTCGAAAATAAAGTAAAACTTCAAAAGAACTTTTTTGCTTGCTTCTCGCCGGGATGCACAGAAGATTGCAAAACCTGCCAATGCGCTTTAATGGGATTTTATTTTCACAGTATATAAAACGTTAAATATAGGTGGAATATACGGGAAAATTATACGTGCGTGCAATTTTACCTCTTCAATGAAGGAAAAATTATAACGCTATTGTCTGTTTTGATTTAGTTAGTACAAACCAAATTTTCTAAAATATTTAAGCACAAATAAAAATAAAAAAAAACACTCCATTCGATGAAATTTCCCGTTAATTCGTCGAATTAAATGGAACCCATTCTTCTTTTCCAACGAAACGAATCCGTCCATATAAGTGTTTATCGGATCCATTCGCCGTATAGCACGGCAACTTTTTATCTACCATCGGAACAGGGCTCGATTACAACCCGCATGTCCGTTAGTTTATCGGCGGTTCATGACGCGCGTTTCATCACGGACGTCGGAAAGACGGATTATCTTTAATTATCCCAAACGTCGAAAACGACGCCCGCGACGTTCGGCGCCACCTTCGGGACGCTATCGGAACAACTTACCAGCGCACTAGCGAATCTGGGTCAGATCAAGGGATTTTCATCTACGATATGGGCATCTCTCAACTGTCATATGCATCTTTCAACAATCATGTATGCATCTCTCAACTGTCATATGCATCTCTCAACGATTATAATGCATCTCTCAACTGTCGTATGCATCTCTCAACAATCATAATGCATCTCTCAACTGTCATACGCAATCATATGCATCTCTCAACTGTCCAATGCATCTCTCAACAATCTTATGCATCTCTCAACAATCATATGCATCTCAGCAAGTTTGCCAGTAATCATGTTAATTTTTGGTTGCAGGACGTCATCTTGAATCACAACTTGGCGAGTCGCACGATCTTCAGCAACCAAAGCTTGGTGATGCAGAAGGTAACGCGACAGAGCGCCGGCAGATACAGGTGCTCGGTGGTGAATTCCGAAGGGGAGACAGTCAGTGACGAATTGAACTTCAGGGTGCAATGTAAGTTAACAAATTTTTTTGCGTGGTTTCAATTTTTCAGCGGCGTGATTAGAGGAGAGAGAACATCGCAATCAACTTAATTCCACGTTTTTTTGCTCGACTAGTGTTGACTGATTTCTCTTGGTAAAATGAATAATGTTCGTTACTGTATTTAATCACAGTATTTAATCACTGTATTTAATCACTTTACGCTATGGCGATGTAAATACCATTAGGTAATATCGGGAAGTACTTATAATGGAAAGGGGTTTTATACGTAATCCGGCGGGCTATTCAGATGATTAAATAACTTTAAAAGATTTCGGTTTAATTGAAATAAATCTTCCGCAAGTACGCGCGTAGCTTAATTAACGTCTAAATGAAAGTGTGCGGGTAATGTAAAATCTAATTAGGCGAAATTGCGCATTTTTTCGCGGCAATACTTCTGAAAGCCCTTCGCCCTTGAAATCCCGAAATCGCGAAAATGAACACGTCAACCTAAAATATTAAGGCAAATAAGTCTAAAGAAAAGAAATTTCATTACGGCAGACGCGGTCGCCGTTGTAGCCCGGCCGGGCTTCAAAGAAATTTATTATTTATGAAAAATGCCTACGTCGCGATCCGCGGGAATTCGGCGAGAATCTCCCGGGACTCCAGATAACGTCGACCACTCACTTTGATTACGTCATATTTTCCTTTTATGTACTGCTCACCTACGTACACACCGGTTTATTTTTTATTTCTTATGTTCGTCATCTGCTTGATGACGCCCTGTCGCATTGTTAGCTCACTATAGCTTTCGGTCTCACCGTTTCTTCCCCTTTAATTCCAATCCGCATTTGATGATGATTACTATTTTTTTTTAATAGTCGCTAGATGAAAGTAACGCACTGTTTGTGCGGTATAAAACAATATTGCCTTATCTTAGGTTTTTCGTTTGTAACTTCGAAACAACTCACTCGAGAAACTTCATTTTTGTTTCACTTTATAAAGAAAACTTTATCCTGCAACTTTCCTATTTACCTACTTTCCGTATCTCTCATAGTTTCGGTAATATATCGGTTTTACTTGCGAAACAACTTTTATTTATCCGATTTATTAATAGGCATAAGCGAGTGAGTTTTTTTCCTCGGATCAAAAAACGCGGAATGTCACGTTTAACGGCGGGCAGAAATAAAATATCGACGTAACATTTAACGTATAGGTGTTGGTTCGATAGTTTAGGCCCGTTCGCTTTCTTCGACTTATACGAAAATGTCAGTCCGGAGACGGGAACAAATCGTAGCATTACAAGAAAAATGAGTCTGTTTATGATTCGAGTAAACGCGCATTCGGAACGTTTATGATTTGTTGTTAAGCGCCGAGTTGAATGTATGCAGCCGCACGTTTTCGCTCATTTTATTTACGGAGCTTTTCTCCGGGGGGAAACTCAAGCGGACCACACCTTGCAATGCCATCTTCAAAATGGATCTGAAGATTAATAAATTCATTTTAAACCAATTCAAAATCAGGCTCTATTAGCTTCTTTTAGAACCTTTTTCAATTCAAAATTGTTTACTTTTTAGGTGAAAAGATCTAAATAAAAACTTTTACATATATTGCTGCGTAAATAGATAAGCATGTTATTGCAAAATATTTACATGGTATTAATTACAAGGAGCAATGTGGCGCCTGGCCTAATTTGGCCTTTAAAAGTTAGTAAATAGTGCATTAATTACAATATCAATTTAAATTTTTTTTATTTATATCTATCAAAATAAATGAGACATCTATAGGAATAATAAAAAGTACTTAAATGTAAGGACTGAATATCGCAATTTAAAAATCACGGGAATTACTTACAATCTGATCTTCTTCAAATAATTCTTATAGTAGTAACTAATTCTAATAATACTAATAGTAATTCGTTACTATACCCAGAAATCGGTTCAAAATGGCTCCTACTCACCTTGTATGCGAAAGTAAAAACCTCACCAGAGAGTACTTATAAACAATCCCTTTATTTCGAATCGTAATCGCCATTAAACCGAGCAAAAAATCTCTCATCCCCGTTCTCGCCCGTTCGGCGTTAAATACAGAAGAGCTCTCGCCATCGACCATCATCGAATCGTTTATTTTACGAGTAGAAAATCACCCGTTCGACGCCGTCCTTTCATCGCCCTCTTCTTTTCATTTATTATTTTTATAGAGTGGTCCATTAGGGGGCGCCCGTCGCAGGAGAAGGCGCCTTCTTCTCGCAGGAATCGTTCGAATCACGACACTCCCGGCGTCCTTGCTGTCTCCTTTCTGTCGCGGGGGTCGTGATGTATGGCCGACGGCCGCCGGCCATCCGGACACTTTGTTATCCCACGGTAATTCCGGCATTAAACAAAAGGGTGTTTCGAGTCGACTCGACAGCACGGTCAAATCGAATAAATATTTCATTACTGCGTATTATCCGACGCGCTAACCTAAACGAATTGAGCGATTTTATGCCGATACTAAATCGGCGATATCGATTCCTTTAGCATACGTACTTGCAATGGGTAATTCTTAGTTATTTTATAGTAAATCGGTAGGTATTTTAAGTTTTGTATACCGTGCTATTTAAGATATTTCGCTGTAAATAAATATTCTGGATATGGGTTTAAAATTCGGAACACGTTTTGCGCCAATGTAAAGCATTTGTGCGTTATTTTAATGGGCTTTCCCGTAGGACGATTAAACGTTTAGGAGGGTATATTCCTAATTTGTTGACTGCATATTCATGTGGATATACGGGGATATACAATAAAGTTAAAGAAATCAAATTAAACATTCCTAAACTAAAAATTTATCGCAAATTCACTAGCCTCGATGAAACGAACTTTAATTGCATTTGTATTTACGGTATTTGGTAAAGTACCTACAATAGAAACGTGAACAGAGGCAGAGAATGTTTGTTTAGTTTAGATTGATTGGCGCTCGGAAATTATGCACGGGATCATTTGCGGTTAACGGGGCACTGGTGCTAGATCATCCACGTATATCGAACCGAATAAACTCGTAGATATATAACCGAATTTAACGGCCGCAATTCGCCGATATCCGAGACCATCGTTGATTGTTTATAAGCGTTTGGTCTAATGCACCTAATTTGGTTGCGAAAGTTTATTCGAGGATTAGATTCGGACCGAGGCGAAGCCTCGGCAACAAAAACTCTCGGCTTCTCGCAGTCACACAAACGGGTCATCGGCGCCCCATTAAAGGATTCCGCATTAAGCCAATATTGAACTTCGACCATAATAAGAATGAGCCCCTTGGATTTGCGAACATTTCTGCTGATCATGTTTCAACTGGGGATTATTGTCGGCCATTATTGGTTTTTGATATGGGTGTATCGGATGGCGGAGAAAAGGGATCGGCTTTTGTTTACTTTCGTCGTTGTTCTTAATCGATTCGCTTGATGCAATAACACACGTGCCTGATATGGAGATCCACCACACGTGATTTCATTATAACCATGTGTGTACCCTTTATACAGAGTGGCCCAGAATATGTGGGCAACCTACAGGGTGTTAATTAGTGCGAGAAACTTCAGGATGTGATTCTGCATGAAAAAATAATGATATTTTGTATAAAGTTACATATGTTTATATAGCAAAATATCATTATTTTTTCATGCAGAATCATCCTCAAGCAAGGGTTGTCATTTGATTATAATAATTGTCGATGATCGAAATAAGTTTGAATAGTTTAACGTGCTTTTAATTAATTCTTAACGGAGAAAACTAAATGGATGTTATTCAATAAATTCTAAAACATATTTCGCAATATTTAACAAATATGTTTGTAATTCAAAATGGAAAATGTTCGATGAAGGTCGAAAATGCCGAATGTAGCGCACTTAAAACTCGAATATATTGAAAATTATATAAAATTCGAGCATTTATGAATATTCATAATGGTCGAATATTGAATGCGAACTTTTGAAACATTATTTATTACATTTTACGGATGCACTTTTTAAAAATTATCATTTAAAGTGGATCGTTTGATGGCGTACGAAACATCGCCCACATATAATAAATATTACATACCGAAAAGCACCAAACCAAAATAATCAAATCTACGCCATATTACATTTTTTTCCAACCAACCAACATTCATATTAATATTTCAAACAACTCGCTCGTATTATTCCAGACGCACCCATTTGCAAGTACGACAAAGTGACGATAGTGGGCGCTTCGCGCGGCGAAAGCGTCGACATTTCCTGCGAAATAGAATCCGATCCGCCCGCGAGATCCTATCGATGGAAGTTCAACAATTCCGGCGAAACGTTGGACGTCGCCTCCGAGCGCTACGCCAAAACCAGCAACGGCACCACCAGCATCCTGCGGTACACGCCCGTTTCCGAGCTGGACTACGGCTCTCTCTCCTGCTGGGCCTCCAACATCGTCGGGCACCAGTCGGAGCCCTGCGTCTTTCAACTAGTCGCTGCAGGTAACTGGGATTATCTTTACTTCTACTGTATAGGGTTTAACGAAATAAAGTAGATCTTGCAATGTTTAAATCATCTGTAGCACCTTCCAATCTTGTGCAGGAATAGACCATATAGAGAGATTGGACGTGAGGAAGAAAATATTCCTCTTCTAGATGATGATATCCCCTTAAGTTTTGTTGCTAAAAAAACTCTGTATACCGTCTTTATACATCAGTTATAGCCTCTTTCATATATGTAGTATTAATAATTGTAATAAATTCCGGGAAACGCTTATACGTCAGGAATAAAATTACATGCACCGGGCGCCGAATTCTTGCACAATACACACCAGTAGTTGCACGTAAACGTAAATTACAGTTGCGTGAAATGAGCTGTCGTCAAGATAGTAATAATAGTGGATATCAAGGGTCGGCGCCCCCTCATTATTTTCCCTTTTCTTATCTCAATTTGGTTTTTGTGCCGACGCTCGGAGAATGTAGGTCGAGGTTTGAATGTTTCTAGATTACGGTGAGTTTTTTTTTGCGCCCGGGAATATTGTTTGGGTCGTCTTCTGTCTGCTTTTTTATCCCCAATAAAATTTGTACGTAAAGGGTTTATTGAAAATCGGAAGAAAGCACCGTAGTGTCAACGCGATGTTTTATATTTGTTTTGCAGGAAAACCGTTTCCAGTAAAAAACTGCTCGTTGTCCAACCAAACCAGTAGCTCGGTGGAGGTGTATTGTCTCTCCGGATTCGACGGGGGTCTTCCGCAGCACTTCGTTCTGGAGTTGTACTCCTCCAATTCCGGTTCGCCCAGATTCAACATGACCTCCTTCGCGGAGCCGTACTTTTTCCTGGACAATCTGGAACCCGACGTCACCTTCAGGATAGCAATTTACGCAGTGAACGTCAAAGGAAGAAGCCACGGAGTAGTCCTCGAGGAACTAACTTTCAGAGACGCCGAAAAGAGAACCGGTAAGTAGCGTAAAAGTAGTGAGAAAATACTTCATTTCACAACTATAAAAAAAGCGATTAAATTCAAACATATAATTAGTTCACGAGTAATTTTCAAACGAGCCATTCCTGCCGCATTTACCGACGTATAAAACAAACGATTCCGCCGAAAATTCGCAGATACACCGGGTTTAATCTAAAATCAATTCCGCATAGGTAATTTCCATCGGATAATTGGCGATGGTACAATCGACCTGTAGCCGATAAACACGCGTTACATCAGATTTACCGAACGTCCATTTTTGAGAATCACCTGAACGAATAAAAAAAATATATAAATGCGCCCGTATCGACAGTTCGCAGTTCGCACGCAAATTCTCGCTCGTCCTTTTTTCCTGGCAAACTGATGAAAATCCGGCCCGGAAACAAATCAACGTTGACGAATTAATACGCACCCAATTCTATTGGAAAATAAGATAAAAAACGAAACAATCGAGCCTGGTATAATACCCAGTATCGCTTTATGCGATACTTTTATTATACAGTGTGTCACCAGCAAGAAAATTGCTGCGAAAATTCATTTTTTTATTTCAATTTTGACACTCTGTATCTTTTTTATTTTCAATATTTTACTAAAGCAAGTTGGGTCAGATCGTAATATTTTGAGGCCCAGAATCTTCCCTTTCACTTTTGGACCATTATTTACGGACCACCCTGTATTATACACTTTCAAAAATGAAAAGAATAAACATTTTTAAAAAATTACTCATCAAAATTAGTTTCCAAAAGGCATAAACATTTAAAATTAACAATAAGAACAATTTAACAAAAGATATTTAAAATAAAAAATGGGCAGTGGAATTTCAACTATACATATAATATGCAAAACATTTTTGTGTATGTGTAAATTGGTTCATGCAGAGATGCATATAAAATGTGTATCATTTTCTTTATTGACAAACTGCGTTATTCGCTCAGTAAACGATCAATTCTACTATAAGTTTAATACTAAAAGTTTAGAGTAGTTTTATGTATGGAATTTTTTAAGTATATAGGTTGAAGGAGATAGACAGGATGGAATAATCGCTTTGTTGCGGCGCTGCTGGTTTCCCTTTTGGAGTTTATCGGGCGTAAATGGACGACCCTTCCTTACAAGTATCAAATCCAGTATTCACTACATTACAATTGCGGCTTCCAAAGGCAATCGATAGCGATGGGCGTTGTTGGGAAAATCTTCCGGGGTTTAGTTTTTCACTTTGTCGGCTCAATTGGATGATTTATAGTTGCGGCGGGGGTCTTCAATTCGACGAGTTTTATTGATAGTGTCCGTGGCTTTCCGTCGGGGTTTTTTTCTTCTATTTTTACACGCAAATACCGCGCCGCGTTAGTAATAAATCGTCCGGAAGTTCGGGTATTTTTTTATTACGACGTCGTTCCCCGCTCGCGAATGAACGCGGAAAACTCGCGAGAGAGGAAAAATACAAAGTCAATCAAATAAACACGAAATATTCAGGATTCCATCTCGCCGACCGCGATGAGCAATGAGCACGGACACGACAAACAAAACTTTTTCCGGGGAAATGTTTTAAAACTATACGAACTGAAAGAGCATGTGAAAACAACATTGATTTTACGGGGGACGCGGCCCTGGAAAACAATTATGTAGATATATTTTCTAGATGTATCCGCTGCGGGAATTATTTTTCATCAGTTTATGATGCCCGGAAAGCTCCGATAAATTGAAAGTTTTATAAATGAAACGTACCATTTTTTTGTCTATTCTAGTTACAATATTAATAAATGCTCGTATACAAGATTCGATACAAAAAAAATCTTTCTCGTTATTCATTCCGCACTAGGAAAATTCGTAAAATAAATACCCCATTCGAATAAGTACGTGATATTCGAATAATTTTTCCATTTAAGCGCGCCGCTGGTGGGAAAGAGGTGCGGTCGGCTTCTCGGCTTTCGGAGAACAATTACACAGTTCAGTCTTATCGAGGATAGTCCATTATATTCGCTATTCCATTCAATTTCCATCGTTGTCACAATCGTTCCAATACAATTCAAGATGGATGGGCCTCGGCAACGATTTACTACCCCGCCCTGGCCTTTTATGCAAACATCCTAACGATATCCGTCGAGATATGATGAGGTGTAAAAAAACCCCGATGCGGATCTCTCGCAAATCCGGGAAAATTTATTATCCGGAAAGGGGTTTTTTTTCGTCTATTTAGGCAACTTTTCCGAACGTTTTATTCCGATTTGAGGAAATAATTATCGTGGAAGATACTCGAGCAATAAAACCGTAATTAAACGAAACAAAGAGCAACAATAAAACCTCTTCAGGCAACAATTCCAGTTCCGGTCTATTGTCCAAAACCCGCAACAATTACACAATCAATATCTGCAGTATCGAATTAAAATTATAATACAAATGTAGCCGGTCCGCGTATCTAAAGTGCGTCGTTAATAAAACGATGGGATTTTAAATATTCCAGAATTCGAGATAACAATGGCGGAAGAATTTCCAGCGATAATGGAATGTGCCGTGAGGCGAACGAAACCGTTTGGCCCCCTTGAAGGGTCGATTGTAATCGAAAATAATTGTGGCTGATAAAAAAAACGCCGAACGGATTAAAGACATCCGGAAAACGAGCGGTGGATTGAAATTTGAACCAAACTGACAACTGGAATTCTCCACCACAACGTTCGATTTATAAATTAATTAGATTCTAATTGATTTGACCAATTTCCGCAGCTCAAGACGGCGACCTGACCTTCTCCCCTATACTGGGCGTCCTCGTCGGCGCCACCTTCACCGTCATAATCGTCATCTTCCTCATCATCGTACGAATCAGAAAATCCCAAAACGCCTCCGGCAGCGGCGTCCTCGAGCAGAAGGTCTCCGCCGGCACCACTCACCATCAAAACACCACGTCTTCCACCAAACCCCTGCTCAGAAGCGCCTCTCCCAGAGACGCCGACGAACGGGATCCCGACGTCATCCCCGCCAAATATGGTAAGCACCCTCATATACCAATGACCTAGATCTATAGGCCCATAAACTCAAACACCCACAGACACTAAGGTTCATATAGGTCCCCATAGACTCTATTTTTGTAATGCAGGTTCTCCGGAAGCGGAAGGTGACAGACGGGTGGTGATAGGAAGTTCCGGTTCACAAACTATGCCTGCTAGAAGCCTTCCAAAAGCGCAGACCTACGCCCAAACCAGCATGCCGTCGCCGCAATGGGTTAGTCCGGTTACAAACGAACAGGTAAATGCTGCTGGTTCTCCTCTTGGAGTCTCCGGTAAATTAATTCTCGGCGTTTCAGTATCACCAGTACAACAATCCGGTTGCGATGGTGAGCGGGACGTACCCGAGGGAGACGCGACCGAAGGACCTGCGCCTGGGAAACGGAAGTTCGACGGTTCACAGCGCGGTCGATGTGGAACTCAACGGTCTGGCCATAAAGGAGAGGCTGATGGCGAATCGGCTGCCGGAAAGTTGCGTTTGAAGCGGTCGTTTTTTGGTATTCCGACGCTTTGTTTACCGTCCACGATAAGTAGCGATCGAATGAGGATTTTCTGTAAGGCATTTAGCGCTGAACACGATGTGGAATTCGAACGGGGATTCTTTCGAAGAGCGGAGAAATAAAAGGAATCGTGTTACCTATAGGTAGTGGAAGCGAAATGACAATGAATTTAGAATGAAGTTCTTTGTTTTCCGCCTTCGAAGTAATAGATAAAAGTTCGTTTCTGGCATTCTAAGCAGCGTGCTTTACTTCATCGGCGGAGTCCGAAAACTGGGAAAGAAGTGCAATAAAAACGGTCGGAAAGTTTTTTGCGAAAAGAAAACAGGAGAAAAAGGCGACACGGGGTGAACTAGGAAACTTTTCAATGTACTGAACTTTCGGAACTTAGGAAGATGAGGTGAAACTTTAAACCAATTAAGAATTTAATTGCTTTTAATCTGGTAGCGGTTTATTTGTATGTTTTCTCGACTAATTCTTCTAGAGGTTTTTGTTTCAAAGAGGAATTATCGTTCGGATGATTTGGATTATTTGTTTTATTCAAAGGAGGAAATGAAGCAAGGAAGTATTTTTGTCAAGCAAGTGAAATGTGTTGGACGACAAATATTTATAGAAAATTGTCATTTAAATATCGATTTTTGTTTAATACCGATGCGAATTGTTTAGACTGAACTTATTAAAGTGAACTAGTATTATCGGATATAGATGGAAATAAATTTTATGGACAATCTCGTGTATTGTATCTACAATTGTTGTGCGTTTTTATAATAGGCGTTAATGAGTATTTGCTGAATTTCAATAAAAATTTCCTAAAATATTCTCGAAATTATGAACCTACTTGTTATGACTGAGATAATCTAAACATATTTTGTTCGTACACATCAAATGTAACGAAACACATATCTATTAAAAATTTTGTTTATTTCCTCTATATTTTTCCAGTTATACCAATCTTTTCGTATAATTAAAAAGAAACTGTTAAATTTACTGTTCCAAAAAAATAATGAAGCCAATAAGGGAAAAATATAAAGGAAACAACGGTAAATTTGTGTAAAAAAATCAAAATATCGAATTGTTTACCCACTTTTCCGTTATATCATGTATTTTGTAAATAATTGTAAATACTTATGTTAATATTGTACATAAGTCCATGTGGCATATCTGTACCTACATATCGAAAAGGTACGAATGTTCAAAATTAAAATAATAATTAAGTAAAAAAGTGTTATTTTTTAACAAATTAGATGGTCCGCACTTGTTGTTTATGCGCTACTTTGTTTTTTAATAATAATTTTCCTCTAAAAAACATATCTATAAAAAAAACATTTTTAAGCATTGACAATTAATTCAAACTTATTAATCAACGTCTTCGTTATTATAATTAATGCATGTCTAATAGGAATATTTTACTTTACATATCCATACGCACTAAACTCGAAAATTATTATTAGGAAAACAAGCTAGTCCAAACTGAATTAGTGGTAAAATAATAATTATTGTGATATTTTTCGTAGGCTAACGGTGTTTAGCGTTTATAGGTAATCAATAAATGTATAATGAAAGAAAAAAGATTTATTATACCTCCTTATTTAACTTTCATGCTTGAATAAACCATTTGTTAATGGTTATTTGAAAAATCTATTATTTGTAAATAAAAAATTATGTTCGTTCATTTTAGATATTCTGAAGATCAAAAGTTATTTGAAATTATTCTTTTTAATGCTTTAGATCTTAATGCCATGTAACAACATTGCTAATGCTTGCGATTATTCTTCATTACTGCAAACAAAACGTCACAACATGTGTAAAATTATAATGAGTAGGTACGCTAGATAAGCTCATTAATGAGGAAAAACTTCATACATAATACACATTCAATAATATCGGGGACAAAAAAAATATGGTTTCCACTTACCTGTTATCGAGCCCTTATTCTTCCACTTACCATCAAATTTTTCAGCAGAATATAATTAGATAAAAAATACTAATAAGTTCCATTGCTATCGATTTTCCCAAAAATTAGGAGCACAAAGGCATATTTGTAACATCATTTTTATCTCGAGAGAAGTAAAACGAAGTCCACAACTTTCGGAAACACCTCGTATTAATCTACCATAAAACATAATTATAGTCAACTAATTAAAACCCAAAAAAGAAATAACAAGGGAGAATTATTGTTATCAAACCGGTATTTATTGTTAACGTATATCAAGTACTTATCTAAACCCAATTTCCCAACTTTTTTTTTTCAGTAATAATGTACAACGAAGTACCGATAACAGATAAAAAGCCATCGAGCAGATGGCTTGGTAAATCAACATTCAATTGGTACATTTATTATTGTTCTTTTGCCGGTAAGCGATTTTTCATTTCTAATGAAACAAAATTAACACTTCATATTAATAAATGAGTGTTTTCGTTTTCAGCCATTTGGTTGACTATTGCAGGTACCGTAAGTTTGATATGGATATCACCAATGATTTCGATATTACAATCCAACGATCCAAACATTAATCCATTAGGCAAGCCAATCTCAACAATCCACTTGTCCGTATTAACGTCCGTTTCGTTTCTATCTCCGCTTTTAACGACACCAACAATAGGAAAAATATCCGATAAATTCGGAAGAAAAAATTCGATGATTTTCTCGGCTACGTTGACCGCTTTGTCCTATCTTACGATAGCGTTCGTGCCAAACTTTTACATCTATTGCATTTGCAGATTGATAACGGGCGTCGCCAAAGATTACATTTTGGTAAATTGTAGCATATACAGCAACGAAATAACTGAGCCGAGCAAGAGGGGGCGCTTCGGATTGTACTTTACGCTAGCCTACCCGTTGGGGTACTTGTACGGCTACGTAATAGGAGCTTACGCAGCTTTTAGGTTATTCAATATTTTGTGTTCCCTGCCGGCCGTCGTGCATTTACTGCTATGCGCCTTTATCACCGATTCCCCGGTGGCGTTGGCGTTGAAGGGTAAGCGAACGAAGGCTCTCAGGGCGTTAGAGAAGCTGCGAGACAGCGGACAAGAGAAAGACCTCGAGCTCGAGCTGAGCGCGATACTGCGAGAGGTGAAATCGAAGGCCGAAAACAGCTCGTTCCAGTTGAAGAATTTGTGGAACAACGCCGCCAGCAGGAAGGCTTTGTTGCTGGGGTTGGTGGTGACGTTTAGTGAAAAATGCTGCGGTATAAATTTCGTGCTACCGTTCTCTGCGGATTGCTTCAATCGCTTAAATTTGTCTGGGAACACGGTAAACATTTTGATAGCCGTCATACAATTTTTCGGCTTTCTATTCTCCGCTTGCATAGTGAATAAAGTGGGGAAAAAGCGGCTCATGATTTCCTCCATGATCGTTTGCATACTGTCGATGCTCTCCATGGGATGTTACCTTTTTCTGCATAGCAAGCAAATCGTGTCTTCGAACTTGGATTGGTTATCGGTGGTTTGCGTATTGGTATTCATGACAGGCTATAGTACAGGCTTAGGTTGCGTCGAACTTTCCATTTTGTGCGAGTTGTTCCCCACTCAATTCAGGGCGCTGGGAGTCACTTTGGCGGTAACTGCTGGAGTATTAATTTCATTCATCAGCCTATTTGCGTTTCCCATCGTCAGGGAAAGGTTTGGAGAGTATCCCGTTCTTTGGTTCTACGGACTTATTAATAGTGTTTTTCTAATTATAGTGTATTTTAAATTACCCGAAACGACGGGAAAAAGCTTCGAGAAAATACAGAATTTGTTAGAGGAAAATAAATAGGATGTTATAGGTATCTGTCAATTTAAATAAATTGATGTTTTGTATAAGCTCTTTCATTTAAAATATTGTTAATTGTTCATTTAAAATATAAAATATATTTAAAATAAAACAAACGATAGATATGTGGCTGATCTCTCACTATTTATTTATATACCTTTACTCTCGCAGAGCACTTTCAGAATACTGATTTCATTTGAATTTTTCTACTTACTCTCGATAGTACTAACAACGATGATCCTCACAACATTGTCCACTGGCGAGAATTACTCTCCAGAGCCTGTTTTGGCAGTTTTTCTCTCAAATGGACACCTAGCACAATACACATTCAATAATATCGGTAACATTAAAAACCTTTTCCACTTGTAAAACTTATCGAGACCTTATTCTTACCCTTACCATCAAATTTTTCTGCAGAAAACCCGATAAGTAGGTATATTCGATTGCGGCGCCAACAGACTTCCACAATTATGTAGATAAAAAATACTAATATCGACTTTCCCAAAAATTAAGAGCACAAAGTCGTACTTGTCTCATTTTTATGTCGAGAGAAGTAAAACCATGTCCACAACTTTCGGAAACACCTCGTATTGGTTCTGCAAAATAAAATAATTAGTTAACTAATTAAGAGCCAAGAAAGAAATAACAAGGAAATAATTGTTATCGAACAGTTACTTATTGTTAACGCAAACCACTTACTTAACTAGACCCCATTTCCCTACATATTTTTTCCAGTAATAATGTACAACGAAGTACTGGTAACAGATAAAAAGCCATCGAGCAGATGGCTTGCTAAATCAACATTCAATTGGTACATTTATTATTGTTCTTTTGCTGGTAAGCGATTTGTCATTTTTAGTGAATAAAAAGGACAATTCTTATTAATAAATGAATGCTTTATTTTTCAGTCATTTGGTTGAACATTACTGCTAGCGTAAATTTGGTATGGATATCACCAATGATTTCGATATTACAATCCAACGATCCAAACATTAATCCATTAGGAAAACCAATTTCAACAATCCACTTATCCGTATTAACGTCCGTTTCGTTTCTATCTCCGCTTTTAACGACACCAACAATAGGAAAAATATCCGATAAATTCGGAAGAAAAAATTCGATGATTTTCTCGGCTACCTTGACCACTTTGTCCTATCTTACGATAGCGTTCGTGCCAAACTTTTACATCTACTGCATTTGTAGATTGATAGAAGGCGTCGCCAAAGATTTCGCCTTGGTAAATTGCGGCATATACAGCAACGAGATAACTGAGCCGAGCAAGAGGGGCCGCTTCGGATTGTTCTTCACGCTGGCCTACCCGTTGGGAAACTTGTACGGCTACCTAATAGGAGCTTACGCAGCTTTCAAGTTATTCAATATTTTGTGTTCCTTGCCGGCCGTCGTGCATTTACTGCTATGTGCCTTCATCACCGATTCCCCGGTGGCGTTGGCGTTAAAAGGCAAGCGAGCGGAGGCTCTCAGGGCGTTGGAGAAACTGCGAGACAACGGTCAAGAGAAAGACCTCGAGCAAGAGCTGAGTGCGATTCTGCGAGAGGTTAAATCGAAGGCCGAAAACAGCTCGTTTCAGTTGAAGAATTTGTGGAACAACCCCGCCAGCAGGAGGGCTTTGTATCTGGGGTTGGTGGTGACGTTTAGTGAAAAATGCTGCGGTATAAATTTCGTGTTACCGTTCTCGGCGGATTGCTTCAATCGCTTAAATTTGTCCGGGAACACGGTGAACATTCTGATAGCCGTCATACAATTTTTAGGCTTTCTGTTCTCCACTTGTATAGTGGATAAAGTGGGGAAAAAACGGCTAATGATTTTGTCCTTGATCGTTTGCATACTCTCGATGCTCTCCATGGGATGTTACCTCTTTCTGCACAGTAAGGAGATGGTGCCTTCGAACTTGGATTGGATATTGGTGGTTTGCGTATTGGTATTCATGATAGGCTATAGTATAGGTTTAGGTTGCATCGTACTTTCCATCTTGTGCGAGTTGTTTCCCACTCAATTCAGAGCGCTGGGGGTCACCTTGGGGACAACAGCTGGAGTATTAATTTCATTCGTCAACCTATTTGCGTTTCTCATCGTCAAGGAGAGGTATGGACAGTATCCCGTTCTTTGGTTCTACGGGCTTGCTAGTTGTGTTTGTCTAATTATAGTGTATTTTAAATTACCCGAAACGACGGGGAAAAGTTTCGAGACAATACAGTGCATGTTGGAGGAAAATAAATAGAATGTTATAAGTAGGTATTTAACAATTTAAATAAATTGATATTTTGTATAAGTTCTTTCATTTCAAAATGGGGACAATTTTACACCCACTCGCAATTAACTCATTTAGAATATACAACCTAGTAAGTATAATTTTTATTAACAATACACCTCTAATGTACGGTTTCACCAAAGAAAAATAAGACCTTATTTGATGAATAAATTTAACTGCTCAATGAAAGTACACAATTTCGTTCCACCAACAATAAATAGCGTCATTTGACGATTAAATTGACGTTTAAATTAACCAACGAAATTTGATGTTGTAATTTGTAATATCTTTGCAAGTGTTTTTCTAATTGTGAATTTTTATTTTTATTTATTAATTGTATTTTGTATGTATTTTTTAGTTTGTTTGTTTGTTGATATTGGATATTGGATACATGATATTATGCACTGTTTAAGCTATAGTTCAATATTATTTATCTATTGACTATATATCTATATCATCCGATGGAGATTTTCATTATAGACGACCTCGAATTGTTTTATAGAAAGAAAGATCGTTACTAAATTTTTCTTCTCCTCTTTCAAGTATATAATTATTACTTCTTTCCCTTTTTCGATCCATTTCAAAATCACACTCAAACTGGTTTCAAGTTCGTGCATGGCGGACGTGGGCAGGGCTCACAATATTTAACCATAAAATACTTTAACCATCTCAAATTTATTTTATTGTCTGAGTGAAAAATTTTGTGTCCGAGTTTAAAGTTAAAGTGTATCTTGTGAAATTTTTGTAAAATCCGTTAAAAATCTGAAATAGATCCAAATTATAGAATACTAACCTTCAAGAAATTCTTTTTCTTGATTTATAAAGGCCTTAATCGCCACGGAGTGAGTGTAAAAGTGTCCCCATATTTTAAATGCAAAACAACTTAACTTATACAAAACAAAAATTTATTTAAATTGGTAGTTACTTATAACAATCTATTTATTTTCCTCTAACAAGCTTTGTATTTTCTCGAAGCTTTTTCCCGTCGTTTCGGGTAACTTAAAATACACTATAATTAGACAAACACTACTAATAAGCCCGTAGAACCAAAGAACGGGATACACTCCGAAACTTTCCCTGACGATGGGAAACGCAAATAGGCTGATGAATGAAATTAATACTCCAGCAGTTACCGCCAAAGTGACCCCCAGCGCCCTGAATTGAGTGGGGAACAACTCGCACAAAATGGAAAGTTCGACGCAACCTAAGCCTGTACTATAGCCTATCATGAATACCAATACGCAAACCACCGATAACCAATCCAAGTTCGAAGACACGATTTGCTTGCTATGCAGAAAAAGGTAACATCCCATGGAGAGCATCGACAGTATGCAAACGATCATGGAGAAAATCATGAGCCGTTTTTTCCCCACTTTATTCACTATACAAGTGGAGAATAGAAAGCCTAAAAATTGTATGACGGCTATCAGAATGTTTACCGTGTTCCCGGACAAATTTAAGCGATTGAAGCAATCCGCCGAGAACGGTAACACGAAATTTATACCGCAGCATTTTTCGCTTAAAATCACCACCAACCCCAGCAACAAAGCCTTCCTGCTGGCGGCGTTGTTCCACAAATTCTTCAACTGAAACGAGCTGTTTTCGGCCTTCGATTTCACCTCTCGTAGTATCGCGCTCAGCTCGAGCTCGAGGTCTTTCTCTTGTCCGCTGTCTCGCAGCTTCTCTAACGCCCTGAGAGCCTCCGCTTGCTTGCCGTTCAACGCCAACGCCACCGGGGAATCGGTGATGAAGGCGCATAGCAGTAAATGCACGACGGCCGGCAGGGAACACAAAATATTGAATAACCTAAAAGCTGCGTAAGCTCCTATTACGTAGCCGTACAAGTACCCCAACGGGAAGGCTAGCGTAAAGAACAATCCGAAGCGGCCCCTCCTACTCGGCTCTGTTATCTCGTTGCTGTATATGCCGCAATTTACCAAGACGTAATCTTTGGCGACGCCTGCTATCAATCTGCAAATGCAATAGATGTAAAAGTTTGGCACGAACGCTATCGTAAGATAGGACAAAGCGGTCAACGTAGCCGAGAAAATCATCGAATTTTTTCTTCCGAATTTATCGGATATTTTTCCTAATGTTGGTGTCGTTAATAGCGGAGATAGAAACGAAACGGACGTTAAAACGGATAAGTGTATTGTTGAAATTGGCTTGCCTAATGGATTAATGTTTGGATCGTCGGATTTAAATACCGAAATCATTGGTGATATCCATATTAAATTTACGCTAGCTGCAATATTCAACCAAATGGCTGAAAACGAAAGCACTCATTTATTAATACGAAGTGTTAATTAATTTTGCTTGATTAGAAGTGGAAAATTGCTTACCAGCAAAAGAACAATAATAAATGTACCAATTAAATGTTGATTTACCAAGCCATCTGCTCGATGGCTTTTTATCTGTTACCAGTACTTCGTTGTTCATTATTACTGGAGAAAAATATGTAGGGAAATGGGGTCTAGTTAGTAGTTAGGTACGTGGTTTTCGTTAACAATAAGTAACTGTTCGATAACAATTATTTCCTTGTTATTTCTTTCTTGGCTCTTAATTAGTTAACTAATTATAATTTATGGCAGAACCAATACGAGGTGTTTCCGAAAGTTGTGGACACGGTTTTACTTCTCCCAAAATAAAAATGATATTACAAGTATGCCATTGGGCTCCTAATTTTTGGGAAAATCGATAGCAACTTATTAGTATTATGGAATATCGAATTAATATTATGGAATATAGTTATTATGGAAATCTGTGGAATATCGAATTAATATTATGGAAACCTGTTGCCGCGGCGGTCGAGTATATCTATATTTCGTGTATTCTGCTGAAAAAGTTGATGGTAAATGGAAGAATAAGGGCTCGATAACATGTAACAGTTAAGTGGAAAAGGTTTTTTCCACCGATATTATTGAATGAATTACGTTTAAAGTTTTTTCTCATTAATGGGCTTTATCTAGCGTACTCATTATTATTTTACACAACACGTGTTGTGACGTTTTGTATACAGTAATGAAGAATAATCGCAAGCATTAAAAATGTTGGCACGTGGCATTAAGGTCTAAAGCAGTGTTTGCCAACGTGGGGCCCACGCCCCACAAGGGGGCAATTTCATTGTTAAGGAGGGCAATTCAAAAATGGAGTAAACGTGTAGTAAATGAGTTTTTAAATTATTTATTAAATACAACAATTCGTACTTACAATGTATGTATGAGCAAGTGAAAGAGCCATTACATTTCATGAAATAGATAATAATTGAACAAAAAAACGTTTCATACGAATACAAAGGGAGAGGGTATAAACTATTTAAAAACCTAATAAATTTAAATCGTACTGTCCTTAATACTTAATCAGCCTCAACATGCAAATTCTAATACATATCACTTCTTACGTTTCATAATTGTACGGTGAAAACAAATAATAAGAAATCGGTGATGCTTTGTTATATGTACAATAAAATTTGATATGTTAAAATTATCTAAATAAAAAAAATATATATCACTAAATATAAATAGCTACGGAAAAAAATATGTATGTATAAAAATCGATTTAGACGTTTACTAGAAAAGATTGAATTGTAAATCTAGAAGATCTTTAAGAAACACTTACTAAATCTGTAACGATGATAAAAAATAATCTATTTAATCGTGCATGTGTAATAAATATTCATTTTATTTCATATTCTCTAGTATTAAACATCTAAATCAACTGTGATGCGTTCATTTTAACATAAAATTTCATATTTCATCAATTTAATATAATCTCGTTACCGTTAAACTATACTAATTCAACGTTACTAGTACGTACAGGACGTGTTGATAAAAATAAAACATAAAAACGTTAAAAAATTAAATTGGAATGATAATTTCAGAATTTCTTCCACAACAATCAATTTAAACGGCCTTAATAAACGAAAGGATCGGTTTGAAAGTTCCAAAAATACTTCACACACTCTTTAATTGGGATATTCTTTAGATCGCTTTTCAAATTTGTCTTCAACGATTTCTCTTCAGTTTTTCCACAGCTACATTTCTGTACCAATAATTTCTTATTCTATCATTAACTTGTTTATTAACAATTAGTTTTCGCTTGTTGTCGAACGTCGAGAAGGCGTTGATTGCTAACTTCCTGCGTCCAATTCGTCCATTAAGCGTACACAATCGAGAAATTCATTCAAATCCCCCAACAACAGCAGATCTAATAATAGATTTGATCCAATAAAAAGTACAAAATTGTTCGAAACTCGACCGCGGAACTTATATCAAAAGAAGCCTAATAACTTCGACCCGTCTCCATTTGAACGATTGCCTTATTCACAGACTACTTACTCTATAAAAGATGGTTCACGCACGCCTAGGGGACACTACTAGAGAATTTATAAGGAATTTGGGTTTAGTTGAATGTTGATTAATCGTTGTTAAAAACTGGCTTTACTTTTGTAGAAATTTTTGACTTTTTTCAGTTGGTGTTTGAACAGAAAAGTTGACTTTAAAGTGGGATTCTGTTTAAAAGATTAATTTTGAGTTCAGTTTGTGTTGTGAATGATACTGTTAAATTGTTTTATTCAAAAATAACTTATTTTATAGCATTGGCGTTCGCGTGAGACATCTATAGAGTATATCATCTTTGGCCTTATTCCATGGAACGATCCGTCTAATCGAAAATTTGACATTTCAAAGATTAGACAGGCCTTTTCCGTACTACGACATCGGCTATACAAACGACACGGGTTTGGCACGGACAAAATCAACGTAAAAATTATTGCGAATCGTACACACACAAACACACGAAATAAAAACGAGTACAAATCTACGCGAGTTTATCTTACTAAGTACGCCAAGTCGCCGGGAAAGCCTTTCGCCATTCGAACAGCGACTTGATATGTTTTTTTTTTGGTCTGATAAAAAATCGCCTCAGTCTTGATTCAAGCCTAATAGAAAATGAGCAATAACTTAATAATTAAACAGGAATGTAAAGGGTGATGTTGGATAATACACGGAACCTTTTTAAGCGAGAGTCTAGAATGGTCCGGTACGTTTTTGGAATACAACTAGTTATTATACGACTCGTTAAAAATACAAAATGAGAATTCATGATAATTATGCGGATTTTTATTTGGCATTCGATACAATACTCTCCCTCTTTTGGTCGATGTTCGAATGGCGAAAACTTCTCGCTACTTTATCATAACTCTATTGGAAATAAATAATATCACTCGAAAGAAATTATGACATTTATGAGTACTAGGACGAAGCCGTCCAGCAAAAATTCCCCGATTTATTTTCATCGATTATTAGACGGGAATTTTATTCGAAAGGCTTCATAAAATCTAACAGCTACGATTATTGTTATTGATATTTTCTCATGAGTTTAGAATGACGGGTGGTGCGTAATATGCCGGTAATGTTTTAGAAAACGAGTTTAAAACTCCAAAATCTTTTTTGGTCAAATTAATTTTCGATGACAATATCATCGTTCTAAACGAGCGGCGGTGGAAAAGGTGTTATAAGATAATTTGATCACAAAGCTGAAGGTACCGGGTAAATTAGAAACAATTGTAAAAATAGTTTCTAATCACCCGGCAGTTATCTCAATTATGTTTACTAACAGGGATAAAAAATCGAGTAACGTTCGGTATACTCATTTAGTTCTTTTATCGCAACTATTCAAAATATTAATCAATTACTAACGTCGATTAGTAAATACTCGACAAGTTTCATTTCGATCATCCAATCGAACCAATTAATCATCGAATTATCTTACAGTTATAAAACAACACCGGCCCAAAAGCTGCCTAACTAAATCAACAACGAGCCTTTATCTACTATCACTTTTTTCGAGTATTTACTCATCACATCGGCTATGAAAATTTAAAAAAGAAATCGCGCGGTCAATGAGAGAAACGTCCGGCAAACTCGCTAGAGCTCCGCGGGTCATCCCTTTTCCTCGGCGGGCAGCACGATGGACACCGACTTCCTGGGGCCGTTCCGGTGCACCGGCACCTGCTCGAACTGCGAATACTCCACCAGGTTCTGTTGGTCCGGCACGTGCACCAGGTTCGGACTGTTGCACAAAAAAATATCAACGGTAAATAGAGTATAGATTCGTCGTAGCGTGAATCGTACCTGTCGAAATGGGCGCTCGGCGGCGGCGTCGGCGTCCTCGATAAAGGGAAACTGGCCACCTCTCTGCCGCCCGTCAGCGATTTAATCGAACCGAACGGTTGATCGGGCGACATTTGAGCCACCGGCGCCACCAATACTCTACAAATAAAACAAAATCATCTCTTAAGCTGTTATAAAAGAATCACTCAATTAGTGCGCTCTGCAGCTTTATAATATCTTAAAGGATGATAGAGAGAATGGAGAGGAGTACGATGTGAGATATACGGTTTTAAACTAGATGTATGACTAGAAATAAGTCATTAGAAGCAGTTTTCAGTTGGTGAAAATATTCAATATTTTAGGAAATACTCTCGTCGTACTCCTCTCAATTTTCATTTGGCTGATATCCGCGAAACAAAAACGAGGATACGAACGAGGCGGTTCGTTTAATCGCGCGCCGGACCGGAACGCGATTAACGGGATTCCAGCTAATAGGAAATTGGAATTCCATCATCGGCCGAGCGGCGTTCGTTTTAGAATCGAGATTGAAGAGCTCGCAAAGGAAATTCGTATACGGGAGAAATTTCGCAGATGAAAATTTAACGTTCCCTAAAATGCTTGCATCGAAAATAAAACAACATTCATGCGTTATGTAAGAGTAATTACGGTATGTTGAATCGAGCTGTTCGGCGAAATAAATATTACACAACACATCAGAAAATTATAAGCATGACGTTACTATAAAAGAATTGTAAAAAAAGCCATAATATGAATGAATCTATTATCACCAAAATCGATCAACGATAATAAACCGGTACAAGAATCCCTTTCGCGTAAAACATTGATACCGGTTGGGGCATTTTAAGGTTTCCAAATCCCGCGTGCTAAAATCGGCCGATAGGTAATTAGATTTAATATTATAAGAGCATTAACTTTAGGTAGATTTTTGCAAATATTTTGAAACAAAAAACATTTTCTGTACTACAATCGTGTACATTATCGCAAATACTATTCACGGAACGTCACTCGCGATTGACTAAAAAGGAACAGCGGAAATTAAATGCAAGTCACGTGTACACCGAAGAGGACATCCCAAGTTGTTAATGCTGATGCGTTATCGATTTATCATCATTCCGTTACTAACATAATAGATTTACTCGCGTCAATTTTAATTAGCACAATCTAAATTCGCTCAAACTAGCGCGATTTTATCTCAGCTAATTCCAAAATTCATTAAGTATTAATAAATCATGCTGTAGACTCGCTAGAATTTGATCACAATTTTTAATAAATTAAATTAATTTACATACGGTCCTATAAAGCTTTATATCAGATAATTTATAGAACAAAGAAAGCACAAATTTCAGCATTGTTGCTATGGAAAATATTAACAATAATTAGTACGTACCCGACCGATCCTGAATTTACCAAAAACGGCAGAGGAGTGGGACACTGGCTGTGGGGGGAACTGGCGATCGAACTCCTGGTACTCGACATTTGGCTGTGTGGACACTGCGGAGGACCCACCGATATGGCGCCCGGACCCCGTTTCCTAGGCCAACACAGGGTACAAGTTCTACCCTTTTCGATGCTACCTGTTTATTTAAAAAAAATAAATATCGCACGTTTTAAATACAAGATGCGCTGTGCAAATAGAATTGTAAATTAATAGCGTTGTAAAAGTTGTGTAAATATGATTTGTTTGTACAGTAGGCATTCGTTTATAGCTTTAACTAGTGCTATACGTTTTCAATATATTATCGTTTTGTTTATTTTGCTTTATATTAAGAATTATTATTAATATAGAGATATTATAGGTATTAACTTGGACCTACAAGTGTAGAGATATACAAATTGACAGTAATTACTTATTAATGCAATCAAATAGTATTAATTATAATATAATCAACAATACAAAATATGTACATGCTTACTTTTAAAAAAACATTTGGTTTTAACAGTACAAAGTTTAATTATTTTAGGATTAAAAATCAAGGTTATCAAAATAGCGCGTTATTTCGCAGTAGTACCCACATTACGCGAGCAAATTAAGCATAAAAATCACGTTAAAAATAAAATTTCGGTAAAAAAAACTCACCCAATGTTCGGGAACTGGACAACGGGCTGAGGGGATAGAAGTCCCCGTGCAACGGGCAATGGAACCCGATGGTTTGCTCCCTTCGTCGGGCCCGCCTCGTCAGCACGCACAGCACGCAACCGGCGACGAGCATGAAGAAACCGACCACGATGCACGCCGGACCGAGGATCCTGGAGTTCCCGGTGAACGAGATGCGGGCCTCGTACCGATCGGGATCCTCGTCCTCCCCCGGACCTCGATACGAAGCGGCTGCAACCGTTTAGAAATTTAGAATCCACCCTGCACGTTAGTTTTTAACTCGTTGATAGTGCTTACCGGTTAAAACACAGCCGACTAGTAGAAAGAGAAATCCGAAGATGGGCAAAATTATTTGACAATTGGCGGCGACGACGACGCCCGCCACCATGAGGCCGCCCTCGATTTTCTCGACCCTCAGCCGGGAAATGGGCGCGGGACAGCGGAGTTTGCTGCCGCCGATCGCCGAGCCGGTGCTGCTCGATATCTCGTTAGGCCTGGAAGAAAACCGTCGGAAAAAAATTATTCTTCTGTAAAATTTTACATTACGGTTGTGAAAACCGGCAGGGAAATCGATGGTTGTTTAAAAGAAACGTTGTAAACAACTAAGATTTTTTTTTGTTATCAGCGAGGAAACTTTTACTGTTTGTTACGAGTTCAGCGCTTTAATAACAAACAAGACAATTATCTAAAAATATTTGAGTTAGAAATGAGAAATTGACAGAATTTTATCAACAAAGTGTTTATAATTCGTCCATAAATAGCATTTATATCTATCTAACTAATTCTAAAAGTTATAGTATTAATAAATAAATTAGTAAATTATCAAACTGTATACCAAACCAAGTAGATCTACTTGTTATAAATAAGTAATTCATAAATCAGTAGCTTTTACATGAAATTTATTTAAATTGAAAGTCTAACAAGCATGGCAATTTGAAAAGCACGATAAAATGAATTTAATTGGGGGAATATTTCAATGCAACAATAGAAAAATCACGTGAATTGGTAATTACAAACACGGTACTTTACCGACGTTAAAATATTTTATTAATTATTTTAACCCAACAAAAAATCAACCGGATGGATATACAATATTAAAATTTTAGCTGTTATATAAAATTAGATTTTATATTAGAATTTTGACTACCGTTTTACATACAACTGGAGTGTGGGAAAAAATCCAAGTCCAATGTAAATAGCAGGTATTTAATTATCAGGTGGTACAAACGCTATAGGACCCACATTAACTTTTATAACCCCATAAATCATTTAGGTAATTTTACGACCCATCATCGTTTTGCCGGCGAATTGTTTGTTAAACCGTTAATTTTCATGAAAATGTAAATATTTTTACTGGCACCTTGATTTAACAAGGTAAATGTCATCTTTACATACCCCAAATATTTCATTAAATATAACCTTTTTACCTATAAATATTGACATTCAACTTGTTTTTTGTGAGAATCCAGGAAAATTAGGTGAAATAATTGAATTAATTATTTAGGAGTGCTCCAAATAATTATTCTACTAAACATTCTAATACAATTAATTATCTCCTCATATTTAATTGCAGCGTACAAATATTTACTAATTAATTAAACATTTTATTTTTTCAAAAATTCACAATAACGGCGCAAACAATTTATTCAACAAAATGAAGTAGTAAATATTTTCCAGTATTGGAGACAAAAAATTTCATTTTTTTGTTATGTTTATTTTCATCAGCCAATCGCATTTATATTAATTTAATTGCCTACACGTCTAATAATAAAGTAATTGCTAAAAAAATTGTTTGTTAAAAAAATTCCAAAATATTTTTATGTTATGTTAGAATGTAGGCATTATTACGGCAAATTACGGAAAATCATGAGGAGAAAATAAAATAGATTTCCTATTCTAGTAGATTAGGAATGTTCTCGAATGAATCAATACAAATCCACCCACAATGCTTTGGTAGTTAATACGTATAAGGGCGTATTTGTGACCCGACTTTTCCTTAGTATATCCCAACATAATATAGTGGAAATTGGAAGTTTGCCAAACATCTACGTCACAAAAGATGATATAAATATGTATTTTCTCTTCTAAAATCAAACGAATTTCGAATGACAAACATTTCTATTATTTGAAACACAATTACCTATACTGGATCATATAATAACATCCCCTATTTCTCATGGTATATCTTGTGAAAAATGCTATGCTGTAGAGAGAGGTTAAAGTTAAACTTATCTGGATATTTCCAGGTATATTAAATATATTTTTTTCCGATTTACTCCAATGACTCATATAAAGTTTCCGGCTGAAAAATTCTTCAAATTATTAAAATAACAAATAATTGGCTCCTATCCAGCTCCGAAATCGAATCATTCCTGATTTCATCCCGTGTCATATGTCAAACGGTTACTCAGAAACATTCACCGTAATTTCCAAATTGCCCACTCTAAATTCGACGAAAGGTTAATGAAACTTCTCGTTGGTATATTTATTGACTTTCTCACTTTACAGTTGTACTTCACGACGTATTCCTTACTAATTAACGGTCGTAAATAAACAAATAAGCAATTTCGACAAATAAGTTTACGATTTATGGGAAAAAGTAATTGTAGGGTGAACCAAAAAATACAGAAGTCGTGTCGAAACCGTCGAAAACACGTGAAAGTAGCATTAAAAATTCATTTAGAAAGTTTTTCCTATATCAATTTTCTTAATATTAACAGAGAGAACTACCAATTTTTATAAGAATAACATGGTTACGTTAATTCGTAGATTCTTCACAACATTCCTGTATAGTTTAGTAGTGAATATAAAAAAATGACCCTGTAGAAATTATTACGAATTAACCTAATTTCTCGTTAAAAAAAAACCTTAAACAGTAAACACGTATTAGTCATGAATATTCTCCGATCTAATCGAATCCTTTAAATCATTAATTCAGGATAACGTGGTGCTTTGGTCAATATCAATATAGCCGATATTCACAATAAAAGAACACAAATCATCCACATTTATTATTTAAATCTAGTACTTGTTCGAAGTGTTCTGTCGCCAATCGATTAAATTTATTATTAATTATTAACTAATTTTTAGTTTTCCTTTAAATAAAATATTGTACGAATAAATTCAACTGTTGCTAATTTATTATTAATGCATTTTTCCTGTTTTTTGCATTACCTTGAACTAATTGCCGTTCATAATAAAATACCAAATATTCCACATCTGCAGCTATGTAATCAATAATTACTCGACCAAAAAAAAACCATGAAAACACGAATTTATTTTATGGAATACCGTAGCTAGTAATTTAATAATAAACATTAAATTTTTAATAAAACTCGAGTCATAAATTTTTTGACGGTACAAATTCGCCGTGTTAAACGAGAATCTTGGTTATGTTCAAATGTTAATGTTTAAAGTTCAATTTAATACTTCGCTAACAATCCAAATACAAACAAAAAAAATAACGTCACATATATGCCTGCTCGCATATTTAATTTATTGAAATATTTGTTACGTTATAAATTATTGTCGCAGACTTGTAATAGCTAAATAATCGTACGTAGTTGAAATTATTTCGATCGATAGGCGTAATATGGAGGGATAAAAACTTGGCAAAGTTATCCAGACGAGCACGCAATTAAAATATTTTATATTCGATATTAATTCGAATAGCACAACAGCTGATAACTATTATCATTTCGGGAGATAATTAAATTAATGCACGATTCGAATTTTAATACGTTAGTTTTACGAACGCCCATATTTACACTCGGTATTTCAATTGCAGCGGTAACAAATCGAATTTTTATCGAATTATTTTCTAACGCAAAGAAGATTATTTTATCAGAGAAATCGGAACAATAAAAGAAACCAAACTTTCGCTTTTTAATCGAAGCGAAACTATCTCGACAGCCAGTCGGCGTTTTCTATTCCGTATGATATGTAAAGAAAAGCCAAATCGTAATGAAAGTTCATGAGACATATAAAAATTTATTAACGTGAGTTTCACACGAGTTTTCAAGCAATAAAACACCCTAAATATCTACTAATATTCTACGTGATATTGCTGTACCTCAAACCCTAAACGCGAGCCTATAATTCTCAATAATTACCCCAGCTCTGATAAGATTTTACCTAATAAATTCGATCATAATCTTCACCTCTACCGTTTTGACTAGTTCGCTAAAGTGAATAAAGATCCCGTTAATTTCAAAATGCAAAACAACGACACCTTAAAGATGATTAACTGCTTTATTCGGGCGATTCTTGAACTATACAACGCCATTTTAATAAGCAAGGCGAGAGGAAAGTTCAATGAACCAATTAATTACTCACATGTTGCAATTTCGTGTGAATTATCACGAAAAAAGTGAATATGCATTGTCATTAATATTCGTGCAATGAGTATGAATTAGTAGAGGTACTCGGGAAGTGTCATTAATGAAAAAAAAACAACGTGAGTTTATTACTAAATTTTAGGTATTCGAAGAGTACTTAACATTTACATCAATGTCGACCGTAAATTAAAGACCACGCATATCCTCAATAACTTTTTTTCCTTTTTTAAAAATAGAATTTTTATGCGTGGGTTTGTTGTAGGTAAATTTAGTTTCGGTTAATGACAGAGAACAATATTTGGATCGGTTCTTTAATTCCTAGATAGGTACTTTTTTGGACGTTGTTCGATAATTATGAAACAATTTAATTTGAGCAGTAAAGACGATACAACACCTAAATAAATAAAAGTTTATAAATAAGTTAGTAAATGTCGATATTTATGTACGGAGATAATATAATCGAATGCGGTATTAGTAATGTTCATTAGAAAATGCATTTTTACATCGTTTTATAAAGCGTTTCGGTGCATCAAGCACGCGATAGTGCAACAAGCGATAATTAAAAATCATTTTTATTACTAATATACGTTTTTACAATAACAAATACCGATAATTACGTACGTAAAAATTTTAAGGATAAATTCGTTGGATTTTTACCTTGAAGTACGTTTTCAACGTCAGGAAATCAAAAAGGTAAACGTTTTAAGCAAACAATTAATACAAACTTGTTAAAATTTTCTAATGGACGTGATTTAAATTCGAATTTGTTTAATGATAATTTTATTATCTGGAATTATTAATAAAGACGCAAAATTTTACATTGGAAACATTTATTAGGTACTACATTTAGAAAAACTCCGTATATAAAATCAATAAAAAATACATTGTATGACTTGAATGCAACTAAAATTAGAATGTAGACCTAATCAATAGTTTTTGTATGAGTTTAATTCATTATATCAATTTATAAAAAAACGGAATTTTTAACCACATAACACACGATAACAATTAAATTATTTTTTACGCTTAATCGATAATTTCTCATCAGAAATTAGCAGAAATAATTAAACGTCGAACGAGGAAGAGTAAAAGTGAAATCGCTTCATTCCGTTTAATTCCAAACTGCAATTCAATCCTTTTTGGTTTACACAACAGCTGTCGAAGAGATACTTTCAAAACAACGTGGTCTTGAATAAAACACATTTTGAACTTCCTACATAATAAATACCGAGCATTACGACTAATATAATCTACATAACGATAAAAAAAAGATCATTTCATTACGACCAAACAATACAATAAAGTTCGTTTGTCGCAATCGCTGTACGATCCCAATGCAACAATAGACGCTCGTTTCTCTTTCAATGACATACTTCGATGGATAGCGCCGATAAATTTGACATGTATCAAATCGAAATCGACTGATATTGGAATATGGATTACTTTAAATTAATGTAACAACGGAAAATAACGCACATCTTTCGCTAATTCGTTAAACTTCTGCTTGGTTGTCCTTTGGTGCACTGCCAAAATGTTTTTATTTTTTTCTCAAAACTACCTTGAATACTTATTGCTTACTGATTGAAGTATTTCATTTCAGAAGTGACAAAAATTGTCGGAAATAAGTGAAATGAAAAGCTTGGAATAAATTGTACTGGGCTATTTAAATGTTGCCCTTTGTCATATACATTAAAGCTTGAAAGTTTACATTATTAGAGGGAATATTGATTAAACTTAGTTTTTTTGGATAAATTTGAAATAAACTACAAGTTTATGGAAAATATAAAGTTGAAACGGTAGGAAAAAAACTACTAAAACAGCGTGTAATTTTCTCAATTCCTCAAATTTGAATATCTCTCATCATCACCAATTAAGTATTAATACCTACAACAATTATGTCAAATACCTCTAGCATCATAAATAAAAAATGTGAAATAATTCAACGTAAAATTATGGTAATTATTTCTAAAACAGCCTACCACGGTTTGATATCCTTCGCAGCATTGGAGCTTTCTAATCCGCCAGCGTCCCGCATACCGGCGGATTTTCTAGCGCACTTCGAAAGAAACGTCATCGCACCATCAACCCCGACTAAACATCAACGAATGAATAATCACCCTATATCGAACAAATAAAAAATAAAACCAGCCGGCTGAAAAGCTCGACGCGCGCTCCCGATGTTAAATTTCATCAATTCGGAAAAACCGACGCGAATAAACTGCGGTGTACGGAGACTACGGAGCAGAAACCGATTCGGTGCGATATCGCGAGCGCTTCTGCTGTGTGATGCTCGGAGTTGGCGCGGACGCCGCGCCGTTTCTCGCCGTGCACGCCGTCCACCGGGTCCGTGCAGGAAACACCTCCGAGGGGGAGACGGCACCGGCTCGACTCGCAGGGTCTTTAGCCGGAGCCATCCATTGTTGTTTCGTCCGATCGGTCCGAGTAGGTTGCATTTAATTCGCGCGGAATTCGCAGGAAATGCAGATAAAAATCTATATGCATTCTCAAACCGGACTTGTTTTTATGAATTTTTATTAAAATAATCAAAAATAACTGATCGGCAGTATAGTTAAGGAAGTTCGCAAATTTTGCGATTATTTTAAAAGTTACAGACTTTTTGATCGCCAATTTTTTAAATATGCGAAATTAAATGTTTTCTCTCATATCTGAGCGGATTTTTTGTCCCTACCTCTACAACTCATACTAAATATGGCGATCAAAAAACTTTTAAATTAATCTCAATATTTGTAACCTTCCTTAACTTTTGTGGAGCAGTATATTTGCCTATCAGTTATTTATAACTGTACCTTTCAGGATTTAGGATGCTGAGATTATTATAATAAAAACTAAATCTTACTAAAGTAAGCACCTACTTACCTATTAAAAAATGAATCACAAACAGCAAAGGCAAATTTATGAAGAAAAATTACAAAGCACTTAACGCACTTAATAACATTTTAAACGAAATCTGGTATAATTTTTGTATTTATATACCAAATCAAGTCAACATTCTCATCGAATTAAACAGCTCATTGAACATTCAAAATATACTTTTGTGACTTTTTACAAAAGTCTTATTATTCGTTTTCTTGTAAATAATTCAATCAATATTTTAATATCCGAGAGATGATATCTTATACTAAACAGTACAGTGTACTTACTATATTATTAATAAATTGAATGAATTAAACACAAACGCATCGAACGAGAAACTTTAATCTTCCTTTCCTCAAACAACACTGAAAGATAAGGCGTATCAAAAGTTGTCTTTTAAGATATAAAAAATACACAAGCCTGAGTATAATTTTATAGGTAATTTTCCAATTAAAATTCCGTTCTCTCGCTGCATGGGTTTTGGCAATAACCTAATTTAACAAAATGCAATTTTAATTTGGTACTCGCTTTGTTTGGGTTAATCGAGTCCAATTTAAAGGCCTAACTTTACTATTGTAGATATTTAGAGGTAATAAAATATCAAAGACTAATAAAATTCATGATGCGGCGTCTTCAATGCATGAATGGAAAAGCAACATCTATAGATCACACGATGTTCATGCAAATTACATAAAAAAATTTGGCGAAAGACCAAAAAGTTTTATGTAATGGAAATGCAACCAACGAAATAATCACTCGAATATTCAGTGCCGGTTCGCTTTGCGCTAAGTCCATTAAAATCAAAGAAAAATAAACAAAAAAAAAATATGTTTTTCAAATGCGCGTACGCGGCGAGGCCGGTTTTTCGCAAACCGAGTAAAATCGCTAATTACATGAACGACATATTCGACATCAATGGGATTTTATATCTGATGGTAATTGGGAAATCGTTGCAGAAAGTCCTTACGGACTTTTGATATTTTGTAATTATAGAGAAGGTACGTAATTTTACATGAATATGTTAGATAATAACGAAAAATACTCAATAAAAATTACAAAAAGTAGGGCAATTTAGCTTTTAATTTCTCAACAAAATTTTCAAGCGGTTTATTTTCCGAGTGGGAGTTTTTTTGCATATTAACCTCGATATAAAAGATAATTAACAGAATTTATATCATGATATACCTACTGCAGTTTCGTTACACAACATTGCAGCTTGAAATAAAGAAATTTACATTAGATTTATCGAATTTTATCTTGAGTAAGCATTGGGAATATCAACTACACGGTACTGTTAAAAGAACAATAAATCATAATTGTGTTTAAATAAATATTTTTTCACTTTTATCGTTACAATAATGGTATAATTGACACTACGTCTTGCAAAATATTTGCTCCAATTTCCACAAATGCACCATCAAAAATTAAATAAAGCGATTAATTATTTAATTCATTCTACGCCGTATATGTACCTTAACTAATCAATCATTCAGCGAATCGTTAATATCATAATTATTTCATGACAATGGAAAATTATTTCAACTCGAATCGAATCCACGTTCACGCAACCTCGTTTTGATTTAGATTAAAGAAATGTAACAAAATTATTTTCTTGTAGATTGCGAAGGATATGTACCTCTACTCGATTTTCCTTGTTTCCATGGATGAAAATTCAGGAATTCAGAAATTCACAGCGTCAGCATAAATTAATGTAACCGTCCTTGAAAATTCGAAAATGATTTTCCACTTGTTTTATCCCGCATAATGTACAATAAACCGTAACAAAAAATTTCTGAAATCGATATTTTATCGATAGGCAATCTTTTTTATTCCATGACAATGCTCCTGCACGTTTTTATGGCGATACAACAACAATGAATCATCCTAATTATAGTTTTTTTACATGATAATATACCATGAAGTTGACCTGATGGAGAACAATGCTCTTTTCGATTTCGAAATTCTGCTCTTTTACTCTTTTTGCTATATCGCGATTTTTTTGGCACAATGCTCGTAATACTTCCTCGATAAGTATGTAAATTTTATCGCTTTTTGCACTAACGGTTTCTTTATAATCGAGTAATTTTTACGGCTAAGAAGATACCCATTGAAATATAAACCTCGCATGCCAGTTTTGCATACAAAACACAACAAAGAAAAAGTTAAAGATTAATCATTCCTCGACAACCTTCAATTTTTCTCTGAAAATAAAGATGAAAACGCGCAACACGCTCATCCGTTGCAAACCTGAAACTCGCTTTTCGAAATGATTTTTCATCGCTGCACATCTGCTAAGTGAATAAAAAGAGTCAGAAATTCAGGTTGAACGACATTCGGGTTTATAATTAGGCAGTCGGGCGATAGTTGAAGAAAATATGGTGGAATATTCAGACATTTTACTTTCAACAGGAATTTAGTTTGTTTGGTGAAGTCACTTCTAATTGAGTAAAACGTATGAAAAATGCAAATTAGATAATTTGTCTAAATGGTGACAGGAGGGAGTTTGAAGGGGAGCTGCATTTTTCTTAGGTGAATATTCCTGTAGACCTCAAAAAACCAATTTGTAAGGAAGATAAATCTCAAATCTCGCCCTTTTTCCGACTTAAAAGACGATTTAGTGAACACGTCGACATAAATAGAAACCCCTGCCGCATCGACCTTAAACGTTAACTACAAATGTATCTTAAAAAAGGGGGTAAAACGGTCCACTTAAGCCACAGCAATTTCCATGCGGCGCTCTATTTTTAGATCCGGAAAATGTGTTGTCGTGCCAGTGTGTTGTTAGAGCACGATTGCGGATAGAGTACGAGCAGAATTAAAACCGATGATAGTAGTCGCTTTTAACGATCATCATATTTCATGTAATAATCCACTGCGTCGAATTTATCAAGCAGGATGTGTCGATTAAACCCCCCATGCTAAATACTCGAATGCATTTTTGCAATTCGTTTAATAGAAATTAACAGTTGTCGTTTGATAGGTATTTTTTAAGTGAATTTTTATCGGTAATTAGAAATAAAAAATGGAGTAAATTACAAGGGCATTGAACACAAATGCACGTTTCCTACCTCATTCGAGGTTAAACCATTTATTGTGCAATAGGATTAAATGCAGAATAAAAGACACAGTTAATGTTTTATGCGTTTTAAATAAGGAAGTTTGAGGCATACCTAAGGTGATAAATACATATACAGGGTGAATTAAATAAACGAGGCAGTGATATTGATGGGGTGACTAAGCAAAAACTTGGTTTAGACATATATCAAAAATGTGCCCCTAAAAATTGCACCCCTTATAAATATCAGGAAATTGTAATTAGTAGCTTAAATATGAAAGTATTTTTGGAAACACTGTATTTAAATCAAACTTGCTTATGCATAACGAGCTATGTTTTTGTAATTTAAATATTATTATTTTTTAAACCATCTAATCCATTTCCATATGGACCATATATCTAATAATTAGATATTTCGATAATTATTAGATTTTAAATTAAATTAAATTTCAAATAAAAATATAAAGTACGTTGAACCTACCTATTCGATGTCAATAAACTGTTTATAAACATTTTAATGTTATTCGCATGTGGAACGGATTTTAACATTTACCATACATTAAAATTTATTGGATATTTCGTATTGGATAATGGGACATAAGATTCCGTGAATAAAATCGAGCAGTTCACTCTTATCTACAGAGGAAAATAAATTCGAAAATGTAATGCAAGAATTATCATTATTTAGAATAGTTTAGTCGTTCGTGTTATTGAGAAAATCGATCCGGTATTACTTACATGTCAACGTTGACGTTCCGGCTCTTCATAAATAAATCCCCGATCAATTTCCATCCGAGACGAACGGGAATGCAGTTGCAGTATTATCAATCATATCGGGAAAAGTCTTAAGCAGGTCAACGCACTTTTGCCTACTTCATGTGAAGAAATCGGCGCATTTTCCGCTCGAACTCGAACCGCATTCACATTACGAGCGAACGATTACAACCCTTTTCCATTACCATTCGTCTCCAACCAGCTGTTTTCAACATAAACCCATCGAATCCAGTTCTTCGGGTCACAAAGGAAACGGAGGCAGCTCTTTTTTTTTATCGCGTCTCCATCGATCGCTGCTCGACGAAACCGTTCGAAAACCGCCGCATCGCCTTCGCCCCGACTTTAATTCGATCTGTTCTGTTAACGAAAACTCTATACCGGCATAACTACATGGCTATTTCGAATAAATCGTCCGCATGAACGAGAGACACAGATTTCGATCGGACGTTTCTTGACAGTAACACAGAAACTGCGACAGCGCCACCTTTCACCGACGCGCCCGAAGAACGTACTAAAAAGAATGACGTCACTACGTTGTTCGATAAACGCGGGGATGTTTGCAGGACCGCACTCGGCCCGATGGTAACGAAAGAAATTTTTATTTATTCTTCGCATACGCAACATAGATGTTTTGTTAGTTTAGATGGGGAAATAATAGACAACGCAAATATGAAAAAGTTATAAAAATAATACAATATTACAGTTTATCATTTTCTTGGAAGTTTTATAGGTTTCGGTATTTTGTGAGCGTATTTTTTATCCTGTAGGTGTTTTTTAATGTTTTTGTAGCTTTTCATGCATATCACGCAAACCGATTGCCAATCCTTTTCGCAATACAGCAAACAATTCACAATTTTCTCATTAACAGGATCATCGCCTAATTCCAATACTGTGTCATCGAATTCCTCAGATTCCTCCATCACCCCGTTTGAATGAGGCTGGTCATCTATCGCTATCTCCATATTTTCTGTAGGTGTTTTCTCTGTTTCTTTCGATTTACCAACTGTAGTCTGAGGAGGCTCTAGATCATTTAAATCGAAAACAAAAGAATCATCCGAGGAATCGTCTTCGACTGGTTCACAAACAGGTTGTATACTCGATTCTGGGGAACTTCGAGGAACTGAATCAATTCTTACTAAAATGCATACAAAATGTAACCATACAAAATTAACAAATTTATTATAAAAAAACTGACTTTTCTTGTTTAATGGTAGACTGTTTGATGAAGTAGGTTCTTCCTGAAAAAAATTATGTACTTAATAAAAAAACTAACAATCGATTGTATCAGCTTACTTTGATATCAACGGGTACATTGCGTTCCGAACGTTCTGGCGCAAAATGGACGTTTGGGAGTACCGAAGTACTATCCGGTTTTTCTTGTTTAATCTTCAATTCCCTTGGATTATTCGGTGGAAAGAAAAATCGTTTCGCTTTTTCTACCTCCCTTTGAATTTCTCGGAAACATCTCGCATCCCCGCGATATAACAATTCCAAAATCACCATTATAACTTCGGTTGAAAATCGTTTTACATTTATCTCCAACTGGAATGCCATAGAGTAAGATAAAAAATGTATTTAGTGGACATTTTACCATTCCATTTCGGTTTCCATTCCGTTCCTTACTTTCTATTTGTTCTCTAAGAACATGGTTTTTCATTAATATACTGCTGTGGGCAGCTACAGTATCGTCTGAACAAATTAGATAAGTGTCTACATTTTTTTTCATCAGGTATTGTTGGAAAAGTATTTCCGAGGAATTGAATGAGTCTTCTACTACATGAATATTGGTAGAGGCATCCATGTCAACTACACCCTTCAACAGTTATTTGTTGCTAATAAATTAGCACTTTCTATATTATTTTTTGAACTAGGTAAAGTTCGTTAACGTAGACCATATAAAAATATTAAAAATGGACAATAATTGACATTGACACTCTTGACATGCAACATCAAAATGTGTCAGTGTTGCCAACACAATATCCGTAAGGAAGAATAACCTCGGCAGCTTAGGCCCAATACAAAGAAGAATTACCGTTCAATTGACACTTTCTCGAATTGAATGTTTAGTGATTAGTTTAGTTCTGTGGTTTCGAATTCAATTGAATAAAACAAAATGAATTTAGATCCGAGGGATTTTGTGCCGGATTGCGCGAGTATTCGATATGGTTCTACGAAAAACGAAAAATCATCAACAAGTATTTAAGTTGATTGAAATTTGTTCAGTTTTATTGTTCTCTTTCTATATTTCAGCCAAATACGTTTATTTTACAACCCTCTGCATCTCTGCGGTAATATGTATATGGGGAATCTACTGTAAGCAGCAAATAATATCAAATTACGCTCGTCTTAAACTTGCTTTTTTTTAAGATTGGAGCACCATTCGAAATATGCCGAAATTCGAATACACCGACATCAAAATCATCGAGCCAGTTAGAGATTACTACGCGGAAATCGAACAATTGAAGCAAAAAATAGACTCGCACGACGAAATGTTGCGGTAATTTAACACAAACTTACCTAGTAAATATATACGCTTAAATTGTTCCAGCAAATACCACGAGGAATTGTACAAGGAAATTTACAATTCACTCGAATCGGCCTTTCACAAACAACTCCACGAAATTACCAATTCGCACGAGAGCGATTCCGACAAAATTGGATTATTTGGTAAAATCTTCCTCTATAGTCTATACAGAATACAGAACACGGCCGTATATTATTTAGAAGGCCTGGAAATTCTGATTATTTTATATATTACAGGAAGTGTTGCACTTATGACTTTGGTTCGAAGGTTTACAGAAAATTCCGCTAGGAACACTAGTGTCGGGTAGGGATCCCAATACACTTCGGTACGATGCACGAATATTGTATTTAAATTAAATTAAAATTGTCGTAAAATAAATAAAAATGATATTTGAAACGTAAATGAACGATTGAACAACACTACCCGATACTAGCCCTATCTGTCGGGAGTCACATCATCCGCAACACATTTTCATCATGAGTTTCCCGACCTATTCTTATTATATGACCGTGATACAGTTTTCACAAGTTGCTGCATAATCATATTATTAGTTATTACACCATAATCTCAATCATATTACTAAGCTAACTTCTAATTGAGCAGATTACGCAGCGCAAAATGCCGGGGGCTCCGTCCACTCCACTCCGGACACCATTCCTTACCCCACGAACAAAAGCGTAACGCTATTCGGGCTCTTCAGCATCAACATCGTGTCGAATCCGGAAAATCTGCTGCAGCCCGACAATTTTCCGGGCAATTGCTTCGCTTTCGTCGGTCGCACGGGAACCGTTCGCGTGAAGCTAGGCAAGAGAATTGTCGTGCGAGCCGTCGGCATCGATCACATTCGATTTTACGGAGACAGAAGCAGCGCTCCGAAGGACTTCGGCGTCTACGTGAGCATCTCTACTTCTTAAAAAAAAGTATAAGATTTGTATTCATCGTTTGTTAATCGCAGGGGATGAGTAACGACGATGGTGAGGAATCCGGAAAGCTATTGGGAAAATTCAGTTACGATATCAATGGTCGTTCGGTCCAGACGTTTCGGATAAACAACGATTTGAGCTTCGAATATGTGGAGCTGCGCGTTCTGTCCAACCACGGTAAAAGGGAATTTACGTGCGTTTACAGGTTCAGAGTACACGACGCGTTCCTATAAATATAAAGTAGTCTGCTAGTACTTGTGGCTTATACAAAAACGTATTTAATTTAAATAAACAAAAAACCAATTTTATTCACCACAATTCTCTCACGTACAACCACAACAATCCCTCTTGATAAACATTTCCCTGGCCGTTGACTTTCGTTTGCTCAAATAATCGATGTATTTAAAAGAATCACTGGCCATTTCGGCTAATGCAAATATAGCACCGTTAATATTACCGCTGGTAAGCGTTGGTAAAATTGAACCGTCGACTACAAACAAATTATTAGTACCTTTGACCCTAAACTCGTAATCCACCACAGCGGTTTCATCATCAGGACCGCCCATTTTACAAGTACCGACCGGATGGTAAGCTGTACTTGTAACGTGCTCGATGTAACAATTCCAATACTCCCTTGAACCAAAAAGATATTGTTTACAAGCAGGTAAAACGTTCGTATTAAACCTAGCACCAAACGATTTCATAGCTTCGGTATCGACTAATCTCCTTATAATTTCGATACCTTCGATCAGAGTATCCCTGTCGTAAGCGCTTGAAAGGTAATTGGGATCTATCAGCACTCCGCTGGAGAAATGTTTGTCTTTCAAACGAACGGTACCTTTACTGTTCGGATGCAACAACACCGGTAGAATAGTCACGGTAACTGTATCGTTCAACAACTCGAAATATTCGTTCCAAGTTTCATCGCTAATGCCGACGAGCTTCCTCAAATGAACACCCCGATCCGCGTTCAAACCCACATTCATCACCATCAATTGAATATCAGGGGCGGCCGATCGGTTACAGGTAGTGTGCAAATGGGCTACGACTTCACAACCCGTAGTCGTCCAGGGGCCGGAGCCGCTCCAGAAATATTCTACAGCTGAAAAGGGAGATAAAGTTTCGGCTATTCCTATATCGATTGAATTATTGAGCAACACGAGATCGAATCCGGTCGTGAGGTGGTCTTGTAAGTTCTCTCCGACTGGTAGATTCAGTTTAGTCTCGATGCCTATTTCTTCTAGATGATCTCTAGGGCCGATTCCGGAATGTAGTAATATTTTAGCGGATCCGATGACTCCTAAAATACATTTTAGCAAATTTATTCATAACGAATTCATGTTAAACGTTTATACCAGCAGTTAAGATGACTCCTTTAGAAGCCCTTGCAATGTAGGTATCCTCGAAATACCTGTATTTAACTCCGTACGCTTCGTAATTGTTGTGAAATAAAACTTTTTCAACGATCCTTCCGGTGCGAAGGAATATATTCGGCCGATCTTTTTCGTACAGAGTGTGAGCTGGTGTCCAACGTTGGCCTCTTCTCGAGTTGATTTTTGGTATCCCGAAACCTTGAATAAGTGTTTATACAGATTTGGTTTATTTTTATTACATTTATTACCTTCAGCACAATTTTGAGTTAAATTTGTAAAAGGAAATTTCAATTCCTCGGCAGCATTTAATACAGCGTCCGTTAGTTTTGTAGAAAATATGACATCACTAAGATGTACGCTACTGTAGTAATTATCTGAAATTTAACCGGTTAATTTTATTTGAATTTATTTGATAACATTCCAACCTTTGTAAATAGAGTCTTCGACTTTTTGAAAATAAGGTTTCACGTGGTCATCGAACGAGTATCCTACTTTTCCTTTGAACCAGCTATTAAAGTCCTCGGGATGGCCTCTTATGTATATCATATTATTCAACATACCAGTTCCTCCAACCATTTTACCCATTGGCCATATACTAGACTAAAATATTGGTATTTTATTAAAAAAAGGAGTAATTATGGAGATTCTTACATTATTATTCATCGAGAAGCAACTTTTCTTTTGAGGTACTGTGGTATAATGCCAATCGAATGGAGTTTGTTGCAAAAGCAACCCGAATGGAGGTACATCAAGTATGTTATTTCCAACATTTCCGGCTTCTAATAGTAAAATTTTCAGGTTTTTGTCTTCTGCAAGCCTTCGGGCAACAATGGAACCGGCTGAACCGCTTCCCACTAAAAATTGATACTCTAATTATAATATTTATTTCGAAAGAGCTGAACTTACCTACGATATAATCGAATATAGTTTTGGGATCATCAACTTGTTCGCAAATAAAACGCACGAAATAATCAGCATATTCTAAATATCGAATGAAACATCCAAAAAGAAATATACAAATTAAGTATAATAACAACAAAATGTTCTGCTTGATAAAAAAGAAACCCATAGTGTAGTGTAATCTACAGATTAGTTACATGATTTTTTAAATTTAATTTAATTATAACAAACAAGGTTATTATGAAACTGAACAAAATATAAACATTTTCGTTTTTCAAATATCGAGTAGTTCAAATGACTCAAATGAGTGACAATTGACAAATGACATTTGCTTATCAGTGACATTGACATTTGCACTTGCAATAGTTTGTTTGATCTTTTCTAAACCGAAGTCCCTGTGGCATCTTCTCACGTAAGTTAAATTTTTAAAAATCTCAAACATCCTTCGACATTATTTATCAAACTTAAGTTTTTTCACTACAATTACTCTTACTTAATACAATGCAATATTTAGTTTTATTAAAATTTACAATATTCTCGGTTTTTAGACCATGTCGCCCTCCGCACACCTAACCTCATTCACCAACAATAACAATGTTTCTAACATTTCCCACAGGTTTTCTCGTAACTCATTCGAAACGTAAAGATGTCGGGCGGTATAGAAGCTCTGAGCCTGAGGGAAGACGATGTGACCAAGATGTTAGCGGCTGGAACCCACTTGGGCACCTCCAACGTGGATTTCCAAATGGAACAATACGTCTACAAGGTGCGTCCCGACGGCGTCCACATCATCAACTTGCGCAAAACCTGGGAGAAACTCCTCCTGGCCGCTCGCGCCATTGTCTCCATCGAACACCCCGGCGAAGTGTTCGTCATTTCCTCCAGACCCTACGGACAGAGGGCCGTATTGAAGTTCGGGGCGCACACCGGAGCTACACCCATTGCTGGAAGATTCACTCCTGGTAATGATTTACTTGAATAGTATTGATTTAGAGCTGTATACAACTGATGATAATCACTAAGGAACCTATGAAAATTATGATTTTATTAGTTACGTCTGAGCAAATTGGAACAGCTGTATCGATTAGTTGGTTTATTGGATTCGTTTTGATTGAGGTTTTGTTTTACAGGTGCTTTCACTAACCAGATCCAAGCGGCCTTCAGGGAGCCTCGTCTACTGATCGTTACCGATCCAGCTTTCGATCACCAACCTATTACTGAAGCTTCCTACGTAAACATCCCCGTTATTGCTTTGTGCAATACTGATTCACCTCTTAGATTCGTCGACATTGCTATTCCCGGTAACAACAAATCCCCCCACAGCATTGGATTATTGTGGTGGTTGCTCGCCCGAGAAGTAAGTATTTTAATGTAAAATGCCTCTTTTTATGCCTGACATTTTTTTAACAGGATGAACTATATTTGTTCCCAATACATTGATTGAACAGTGATTTACAATTTTTCCATCTGATTATACAAAAAACGCGTGATAGTAACACTCCTGCTGGTTATTGTGGCTAATTGATTATATGTTTTAGGTGTTGCGTCTACGAGGTAGCATTCCCCGCGAAACCAAATGGGACGTAGTGGTGGATTTGTTCTTCTACCGTGAGCCTGAAGAAGCCGAGAAGGATGAGCAAGCGGCCAAGGAAGCCGTGGCCGTTGCCAAACCGGCCGAGATCACTCCGGCTCTGGTGGAGCCCGATCAGGAATGGAACGCCATCGAAACTAGCGAATGGGCTGCCGATGTTCCTGCAGTGGCTCCTGTAGCTGCGCCGGCTTTCAACGTCGCAGGCGCCCCCGCTACCGACGATTGGGCAGCGGAAGTTGCCCAGGAACAGTGGTCGGCGCAGCCCCCGGCGGCCGCGGTGCCGGCCCCTAACTGGGTCAGTTCCAACGACTGGCATTAAATGGTTTGTTTGTACTGGATTTGTATGAATAAAATGAATCGTTTATATTTAGTTGTTTTATTTAGAAGGTTGTTACAATGATAGAAAATCTTTTGTTGCTATCCTACTGACAATCGAATCTAAAATGGGTGTTACACTTGATTCCTTGTCGTTTATTTTGTATATTTTCTTTATTAAATTTATGTCTGTGTAGTCGCTGAGTTTCTCTATGGGAGCTTCCACGGCGTCGATTTGTTTAAGAAAGTCCGCTTCTTCGTTTTCTGTGTCCTTGCAGAGTGTTACAACGAGTAGGGCGTCATCTTTTTCGTCGATACCAAAAGTCTGCAAACTTTTCGATATATTTTTGGTGGGCGATAAATTGAATAAGATTTCGGTGTATACAGTCTTAGTAGTCAGTTTCTCATTCAGCAGAGCCTTATTAGCGGCGACTGCTATTTGAAAAGGATCCAAAATCAACGATGGCTTGATCATGCTACATTTAAACTCGCCTTGTATTAGTTGTTCTTTAATTTCCTTTGCATTTTTCACTTGGGTGAATAACTTTATCGATAGTTTTGTGTTTGTTTCTGGATCTAAATCCATGTTTTATTGTTTATTAAACTTTTCGACACTTATAACATAACCTCAAAACGTGAAATTTTGAAATTTGACACTAATGCCAGTGACATAAAAATAAACAATCTGAAGTTGTTACGGGTCTTTTGCCTCAAAGTTATTAAACCATTTTTGCAACAAAAAAGAAGAATTTAACCTCAACTAACGTATAAACTTGTCATTGTCAAAGTGAACTCAAAACATTTCGTTGTAAATTACACTTTACGCATTTATAAGCAAACGAAACCATTTAATTCTAAACAGCGTTTATTTACAAATCGGCAACGATGGCTTCCAGCCATCAAGCCCTTCCAGTATCGGCCATCCTGAAATCCAAAAGCGAAGTCGAGGATGAGCCCAAGAAGAAGTCCAGGGAGGATTGGCGTAAGGCCAAAGAGCTAGAGGAGGCTCGAAAAGCCGGTACAGCTCCGGCGGCGGTAGACGAGGAAGGTAAAGACATCAATCCGCACATTCCGCAGTACATATCTACAGCTCCCTGGTACTACGGAACGTCCGGCCCCACTTTGAAGCATCAGAGACCCCAGGATGAGAAACATAAGGAGTATTCGGATTTGAACGATTGGTACAAGCGAGGCGTGGATACTGTAAGTGTACACGTTATTTTATCATTATGATTTGTATTCACAATCGATTCAATTTCAGTCGAAGATCGTAACAAAGTATCGAAAAGGCGCTTGCGAAAACTGCGGAGCCCTGACTCACATAAGGAGGGATTGCATGGACAGACCCCGTAAAGTCGGAGCTAAATATTCCGGTGCGAATATAGCGCCTGATGAGTATATCCAAAAAAATTTATCACTAAGTTTTGACGGTAAAAGAGATAGATGGAGTGGGTAAGTTACTCGTAATGTACACTTAAAAACAGCTTTATTAAACTGTCTTTTTGTAGTTACGATCCCTCTGAGCACAAAACGGTTATCGAGGAATTCCAGAAAGTGGAGGAAGCCAAACGGCAACTGAAATCGGATAAATTGAATGCGAACGAAGAGTCCGACGACGAAGAAAAAGACGAGGACAAATACGTGGATGAAGTGGACATGCCCGGAACGAAAGTAGACAGCAAACAAAGAATAACGGTCAGGAATTTGCGTATACGAGAAGATACGGCTAAATACCTGAGAAATTTGGATCCTAACTCGGCGTACTACGACCCCAAAACCAGATCGATGAGGGAAGATCCGAATCCCGGAAACGACGCCACGTAAATATTCTCATACAGCCATCTTTGAATATTATTAATTTGTGCATTTTAGATACCACGGGGAGAATTTTGTTCGGTTTTCCGGAGACACTACGAACCACGCGAGAGCTCAGCTGTTTGCATGGGAAGCGCACGGTAAAGGAGTGGATGTTCATTTGCTCGCGGAACCCACGAAATTGGAATTGTTGAAGAAAGAATACGAGAAAAAGAAAGACGAGGTTAAGTCGAATATTCAGGGAACGGTTTTAGAGAAATATGGAGGTGAGGAGTACCTCGAAGCGCCTCCGAAGAGTTTACTGTTGGCTCAAACTGAAAACTACGTTGAATATTCGAGGTAAGTTTTATGAAATTTTTGATTAAAATAGAGTTACTATATTTTTTTCGTGATTATAGATCGGGTAAAGTTATTAAAGGCGCTGAAAAAGAAGTTATTAGATCGAAATACGAAGAAGATGTGTATATTAATAATCATACGTCTGTATGGGGTTCTTATTGGCGCGGAGGACAATGGGGTTATCGATGTTGCTATTCTTTTATTAAGGTATTTATTATTTTTTTCTTATAAATTTAATTCTAATAATATTATTTTACAGAATTCTTATTGTTTGGGAGAAGCAGGAAAATCAGTTAACGCTCAACCTATGGCAGATATAAAAACTAATGATGAGCCTAAAGAGGAACAACATCATGAAGATGAAGTTAAAGAAAAGAACGAAGCAGTGGATAAAGAAAGCGAAGAATCAGATTCTAGTAGTTCGTCAGAAGAGGAAAAATCTAAAGCGAAATCGAAGAAAAAATTAAAAAAGAAGATGAAGAAGCAGAAAAAGAAGCAAAAGAAAAAGGACAAGGAAAAGGAAAAGGAGGTTAAAATGTCGGCGTCGATGAAAGAAATAGACGAAGACGTGATTGCAGACGATAGAAAGCGGCCTTACAACAGCATGTTCGAGGCGAAGAAACCCACAGAAGAACAAATGGAGGAGTACTACAAGAAGAGGCGAAGGGACGAAGATCCGATGAGCCAATTCATGTGAAACTAAAGTAGATTAATTCGTTTATTTCAAATAAAACTAAATAGTACAATCGCAGCAAAAATTGACCGCCCGCTCCTCCCACACCCACATCTCCTTGAGATCGCGCGGCAGGCCGACGTTTCCGATTTTCGTTCCGGGCCCCGCCGTCGCGCACTTGTTCCTCATCCGCTTCAGTATCTTGATGGTGAACGAGCGCGGCTTGCACTTGTACAGGTTGAACCAGCAGTCGTGCGACAGGCACTCGACGGACCGCAGATACCTGGGGAAATAGTCCCTGCCCAGGTCGGTCCACTTTATTCGCGACCGGCAGTGCCACTCCTGCTCGTACTCCGAGCTCCTCTTCCACCTGCAAAGAGATTGTTAAAATCGAGAGGGTGTTTGGAGTTGATTGAAATGCGAGAGGAGAGGTGGGTTTTTTTTATCGACGCGTTTTTTAATTTCCTGATTACGAGCGCGCGAATACTATTTCGGTGTTATTTCCGATGTATTTTCGAAGGGCCGCGATCAACGTGTGAAATATGTAAATGAAATTATAGTCAAAGTACAAAGGTACAAAATGTAGTATGTAATTAAATAGGTACGAAATGGCACGAAAAACTATCTCTAACGGACGAAAAACGCAAAAACTACTTGTAAAGTTGAAAAATAAAATACAGGACAGAGGAAAAAATCGCTGAGAATCATTTAAACCTGTCTAGAATCATTTAGAACTGTCTTAAAGCATTTAGAATGCTCCAGAATCATTTAAAACTGTCTAGAATCATTTAAAACGCTCCAGAATCATTTAAACCTGTCTAAAAGCATTTAGAATGCTCCAGAATCATTTAAAACGCTCCAGAATAATTTAAAACTGTCTAGAATCATTTAAAACGCTCCAGAATCATTTAGAACTGCCTAGAATCATTTAGAACGTATCTGAATTATTTAAAACGCTCCAGAGTTAATATTTGACATTTCGAGGAGAAAATGGAGAAATACATTAACCGAAGATAGGCGAGGCATGATGTTAACAACACAATCACCGCTGATTTAGGTATATTTTGATATATTGTATCTATTTTTAGTTTGAATAAAACCTTTTTAATTCTAATTCTATATAATTCGTACGCAAAAAACCGCAATCCTTTACAACATCGAAATATACCACCTTGGGTTCATGTTTGTACTGTATGTACTTCCACGTACTACTATGTACTACAAAAAAACAAACAGTGTAGTTTAGTAGGAAATGATGTATGCTGTAGGGTCAACCAGTACACCGATAGTCGAAGTCCGCGGCATTAGTACAACGGAATATCCATCATCCTGTCGTCCCGCGGCGGAGCCTCCGGGGCGGCAGCAGGAAAAGACGAGAGAGACACGCCGATGACACGAATGCGGTGTCGTTCAGCTGCTGCGCTTCCTCCCTTATCGTCCGTCCGCCCTTCCTGCCCTCGCCGCGACGGTCGCTCCTTTGTCTTCCCTAATTTCCCATCGCCGCCGGACGAAAAACCCCCCCGATACATTTATAGCGAACGTTCCCCAACAGCGGGCGATAAAAAAATCAACGAACGAGCAGATTTATACGCGACTTCCACTTTGCTACATTGAAAAAGCCCCGTAAGTTGTAAACAGCGGTTGGTAAACGAAATAAAAACCGGCGGGAAGAAATCGAATGAGCGCCCATCAACGTGCCTTAGTTTTAGTTGTGTCGTTACGCTTCGCCGGAGCGCGACATAAAAATGAGCGCCCGGAATCCTCCGGGAGGACGGGAGAACTTGTTGCGAAAACTTTATAATAAACGACGGCGCGGCCGGTAAGCGGAAATGCATTTTAAATTGTCCGTGCCTGAAGTTGAGCGACTGCGAAAGACGCAACTTTTACCTTACTTCTCCGGTCGACCTCCCGGAGAAAAATGTTTACAATGCTCTGCCCGGGGGCCATTTATTAACTAGATGATGCCTCTAAAAACGCGCCCTCGAAAAACGTGACGGTCTCGCGCGTTCGAATTGAAAAACTCTGGGTTCATTCATTAATTAATTGCAGAGCAGAATTAATTTCTATTCTAGCTACATTGTTGAGTTTTTAATGGTACTCTAAATTTCTAGGCAATATATTCTCTTTTTGGAAAAGTCTTAACAATTTTTTCCAGTTGTGATAAATTGGGCGCAGGGATATACATATTTATTATTACCTGACATCTATTTCAGGTAAAAAAGAGAATTATTTAAATTCATTGCAAACTTTGAAAGCAGAGAAGAGCAGAGAAAAGAACAGAAAAGAAAGTAAAGAAGAATAGAGTAAAGCAGAATACATGGAGATTTCTAACATTTATAATTATTATATTGATAGAGAATATGTGCATGAAAATACTTTACTGTAAATAAAAAATTCCCAATCTTGCGGTCAAAAGAATTATTTCTCTGGACCTTACACTCTCCCAATTTACATCATTCCTCCTTTTTTTGCACTATTACTCAGTAGAAACATAAAACTTTAGTTACCTGGTATCCCTAATGTCTCTAACTCTAGCCGCGTGATTCATCAGACTCCACGCCGGTCCGTCTTCGATATCCTCCTTGAAATCGCTGTCCACGTAAAAATCGGCCCCCTCGCGCGTGGTCCTCTTGCCGTTCTGGTTCGCCTCCTCCGCGGGCTGGTCGATGCTCATGTATCGCGCGTTGAAGGCCGCCCCCAGGACTTCTTCGAGCACTTCGGACGGTATTTCGTTGCAAATTACCTGCGGCGGATTCGGCGTTTAACCGGTGCATTTATCCCGTTTGAAATACTCACTTTTCCGTCTCGGTTGAACGTCGAAGCGCAGGTGATAATGCTAAAAAACTCCACACAAAAGTACGTAAATAACACTAGGTAGCCGATTTCACTGAAACAAGGCATGATGGAATTTTGTAAATTGATACAGATGTATTATAACGTCGCTGCGAATGTTGTACTAATGCGAGTCTTGCGTCTGATGGCTACAATTTGTCTACCTAGTTTGTAATGGATCTTCGATAATAACAGATATTTGTCGAACTGGCTTCTAGCACTTCTGGGAATAATGTAAATTGATTAAATTCAGTAGTTTTCACCATAGGCGTACAACCCCGACTGTATTTCACCCTAACACTAATCAGTATTGACTTCGACTGCACCGAACAAACGACCACAAAAGATCCCGATTTCATACGAATAATAATTCATTTCCACACAACTAATTTGAATAAATAGTTTAGTTAAACAAACATTTAGATAAAACCGCTGGTACGCCACTAGTTTTGAATATCAATTCATTTCGGAATCGCCTTTTAACGATCTTTCTAATAAGTAAAAGTTAAATACCTACCTGGTTTTAGTGGATTAAAGGCTAGATAAGGACTGGCGCTGTGAGTGACAGAAAATCCCTTTACAAAAAATTAATTATTCTTGAATTTTAAATCTCTTAAATGGAAGCTCCACCATAATGGGATTATGAAGTTAGAACGGGCGTTAGGGATATTTTAATATTACACAAACCCACCATGGGGAAAATTTTTTGATGAAGATACTTATCTAATTTATCGCAGAATTTCCTGATTTAAAAGTATATAAAGTAACTTCCAATCAACCGTACCTTACCTAATTACCTTCTATAATAACACTATTATTATTCTTAGCTTATTCCCCCCTTTTCTTGCATATTTATTCTTCTCTCGGGGTTGTTTTTTAATTAAAAAGAGGAGCCAGTCCCGAAATCCGAGTGCGTTCCTAGCGGGGTCCCTTCGTCCTTTAAAAATATAAAAAAAAAACTGGAAGAAGAGGAACGAGAAAGGGCTTTGATTGGGATGGTCTGGCGCCCCGATTGACACCAGGTGCACAAATAATAACTTTTTTTCCCCCGAGGGGGGCGGAGAGAACCGGGAGCGGCGGAAAGGAACGGGGAGAGAAATAGAACGTAATGCCGAAAGCGGCATTCGCAGAGAGCAATATGCCATGTTGGTCGGGAGAAGTAACTAAAGCTAGAGGTGGTCCGTTATTTCACATACTGCTATATTTTAACACAGTTGAATTATTTCGCGTTGTATAAATAGATCAAGTTTTGCAGTGAGAAAAACATTTTAACCTTACTTAATTGTCAAAAAATCTAGAGAAAGCAAGGTTACTATCTACTTGTTACTAACTGTAGCCTTCTAAGTGACGGTAAACAAATTAATTTTGGAATTAATTGAGAATTTATTTTCGATTTTTTTGCTATAGCATATTTGTTAATCTATATACCAATAATGCATTTTAATTGCATACCTAAAAAATCTATGTAATTTCTCATAATATTAACATTCTGCATATAGTGCGTTCAACAGATTAATCCGGTGACGTCATATTGCTGTTAAAATGGGCACACTATACGATTGCACTTGTTGCGCGAATTTGGTCGTTCTCGGGATCGCTTCCACCTCTACGTATCGGGAAAGGAGGAAAGCACCACGTTCGGGTTCGGGCTCCGCGGGCCGCGATAAAAGCGCTCCGTTCAGTCCGAATTCGCGTTGGCTATCGATGCGAGGTCGTGTTCCGAGCCGCGTGAAACCCGTTCCGTGCAGGTCTCGCGCATTTCGAGGAATACACCGCCGGATTCGAGCACGCCTCCCGCAACGCGAGTAAATATAGGCATCGCATATCGCGGCGCGTGTGAATTATTTCAGTGTACAACCAGTTCGTATGTATACAGTGCGATGATTTTAATCCTAACCCGCGTTGTGTTTTAGAAGTAACTCAACGTTCGAGGATATTTTTTTTTTTCGTTTGTAAAAATGGACGATATAAATTTCGCGGCGCAATGTTTACTGGAGATGTCGCACAGCAAGGACCACCTGAACCCCCGTCCGCTGGACCTCTCTAGGAACGTCCTGCGGGAGGCGGCGTTCGCGAATCCGACGCCCGCCGTCGTCGTCGAGCCGATGCCGTTCGCCAAGGGGGAGCCCGTCACGGCGGAGTCCTCCTCGTACATGGTGGCCCGGATACTCACCGACCTGACCAGGATCGAGCAGGAGCCGGTGCCGGAGGTGCCGTCCGACGGCGAGGGCCACCTCACCATCGACGAGGACGCGCCGGGCGACAAGGCGCCGCCGGCCGTCGCCGCGAGCGGGCACGTCGCCGCCGCCGCCGCCAAGGGGGCGAAGGGCGAGGGGGCGGCGCCGCCTAAGGCTCGCGTGCCCGCCTGTTCGAGGACGGGGGCGCAGATCAGGAAGACGCACAAGTGCTCCTACGACGGCTGTCACAAGGTTTACGGGAAAAGCTCGCATCTCAAAGCTCACCTCAGGACGCATACAGGTGATCCTTTTTTTTTTCTTCTATATTTCCCCCTACTTTAAACTACAGGTTGTTAATTTATAAGTGCGACAAACTTCAGGGGGTGATTCTGATTCTGCATGAAAAAATAATGATATTTTGCTGTATAAACAAATGTCCGCGAAAGCTTCGTTTTCGAGATAGGGGGTGTTAAAGTTTCTTCTTAAAAACCGAAGATTTATTTATTTTTCTGAAACCATGCAGACGAGATATTCAAATGAAATTTGGTGGGTTTTGAGAGGTAACTATTACGCGTTTTTTGACATAAAATTAAAAATTTTATGTTCATCATTGACGCGCATACGGGTAATAATAATTTTTTTTCTTTAAAAAATTATATGGGTACGCCACTGAGGCATTTTTATTGAAAATTCAATTATGAATGAATTCCTCGTTCAATTTGTGACAAAAAAACTCCCTTATGTTTTTTTCGTATGGGCCGGTGTTTTCGAGTAAAAAAATAAAACATCTTGACGTGTATTTTTCATTTCCTCAATATAATTTATCTAGTAGTGAAGAAACTTTAACACCCCGTATCTCAAAAACGAAGCATTTGCGGGCATATGCTTATATAGCAAAATATTATTTTTTCATGCAGAATCATCCCCTAAAGTTTGCAGCACTTTTTAATTAACACCCTGTATTAGTTGAAACGTTAATTGACATACACTCTTAGGAAATTTTACTCACCCTAGTCGTTTTCGAAAGATACAAATCTAATTATGTTTTGATCGTTGGGCCTCAAAATTCCAACTACCCTATTTATAGTTCTATCGATTTAACACCATGACATTAAAAGCACATTTTATTATACTAAAATTTGACCTACAGCTACAGGGTATTTTTTAATGATTAAACCAAGGAATAATCTTATCTTTACTTTAATTAATTCAATCATTACACAGGGTATTCCATACATACAGACGAACTCATATCTTTTATGTAGGTATCTGTTTTATAGATGGTAAAATTGAACATTTGTGCGAAATTACACCTAATAGATACTAATAATCATATTTCTCATTACGGTTATTACAAAGTAAATTTATGTACCCGCATTCCGCACCTTACCGAAATGTTTATTACCCACCACCTTTGGCGAAATTGCTTTTCGATATAACCCGACAAACCGGCTTTTCCCACTATTCCTCGATCGATTTCCCGTTAATGCACACTTTTCTCACCGTTAGTTGTATCTTGAATAAAAGATTCCGCAACGTTATACCTCCCTTACAAATCATATTCCCCGCTTTGTTTTCCTAATCAAAATTCAGGCGTACGCGTTAATCGAAACACTAATTAGGAAACCCCGAATTAAAAACGTTTTTTTTTGTTCCTCTTGGTTATGTTTGCGCTTTGTTTCGATCTCCTGTTTAATGTAGGTGTGTAGACCTCACCTTTTTATACCTGGTTATAATTGTTGCAAAACCACCACAACAAAAAAATCTTATTACATAAATGGTATAGTGGCATTGAAAAGTTTCTTGCTGGAAGTCAAGGCCGTATTTCGAATTGAAGAACACGAAATCGACCAGCGTGAAGATTTTCTGCTGGTTAGTTCAGAGATAAAGAGTAGTTTTTTTTGTTTGTAAATACGCTTACACGTGTAGCACTCGGTCATTCCGTTTTGTTAATCAAAAACTAATTGACGTTAATCCGGTTCCTATATGATTATGGGGCAATACTTTTGTAACTATATACAGGGTGATGTTTCATAATGAATACATTCGTGTGTAATGATAGGTTAAGGAGATATGTATGTGTTTTTTTTGTTTAAATATACAAGAGTTATTATTATATCGAGGATGTTTTAAGAGCAGCAGTAGAAACCATGTCTCTCGTTTTACCATTTATTCCCTCGTCATCGTTTTTTGTTTGCACAAAGAGAGAGAGGCCGCGGTAATTTATCTTTTTCGGTAAGGTCGACACAGTCGCTACACATAAAATTTAGTCGTCGAGCCCGCGAAACTGGAATTTCCTTTCGCAAACCGCGGTGGAGGCGCGCCGATCGGGCCCACGGACCAAAAACACATCTTGCGCTCGATATCCTCCCCGACCGAATACCGATAAGGAGGCGAAGGGAGAGGAGAGCGACTCACCCCAATAAATTATTTCTCGATATAATTTCCTTTTCTCCCGAGATTTCCTAATCCACTACCGAACTCCTTTCGTAGATCGAACGCGATTCCAAGTGCGGGTCGCCCGTTCTCCGGTTGTCTTGATGCGAAACATCTAAACAACCCGACTCGCCCAGATTGATCGACGGAAACTGTCACCTTCGTTTAGACGATTGATTTTGAATCATGAAGTAATGTCTATACCGCACGAAAAAAAAAATACAGGAAAGTTTCACGGGAGAGATTTTCATTTAAAGATTTATGGAAGTTCGAGTGGATGTAAATTGAGCGCAAAAGGGAGTAAATACAATACTCTTCTACTCACTTCTATATCTCTTGTGCCCGTTTACCTATAGGATTAAAATACCATTTAAGCTCTGAGGGGCATATTCGCCATAAAATTGAAAGGACAGATGGGATAATTGGAAGTAGTACAGAAGTTTATTCGGATGGGTGGCGAATATTAGGCGCGTCCGGTCCTAAAATAAGGATTAAAACTTCCGGCGTAGAAGAAGAACGATAAAAACCGGGGGGAAAATCGAAAATAGAAACTATTAAAAAAGTTTGTCGGCGCGAATAGTTCTCGCCTATCCCGGTTATTACCGCCAATTTTCCGGATGTTTTCCCCCGGCTACCGTTTATGGCACGCATTAAACTTTGTCGCGCAACAAACAACCTCGCAATTTTCGGCCGAAAAGAAAAATATTCAATTACATCCACCCGATGGAAATTAGGCGATGCTTGCTACACGATTCGAATTTTAATTTCCACCTTTAATTCCGTCATGAGCTCGCGGAGTTGATTCGCAGCAAAACTCGTAATACGTGACCACTTTTACGGGAGACGATCGTCGGTTTGAGTGCCGCAATAAAGCTCTAAAATCGAGATTTAGATGGCCGTCTTAAATTCAGAAATAACGCTTCGATAGTAAAATGAAAAAGGAACTCCCGAACACTCGCTATCCAATTACTGCTTTTTTCCCGTTCCATTTCGATCCTACTAGGGATTACGTGATTGGATGCCTTATCATTTTTTTCGTGTCTCGATATATTCCCCTTAGGGGAGGGCTAATCTTGCAGGTGTAGCGAAATTAAGACGAGCTCCCGCGAACGGCTTAATTTTTCAGTAATTAAGCGCATTAAAATCGAGTCGAAAACGTAATCCCCGGCAATAAAGAACGTTTACGTTTTACGTTGTACGGTTTCGGTAGCGAAACCGAAGGGAGAGAAAGGCGAAAGAGTACCCGGAACGATTTAGTGTGACGGTAAACCGGAATTTAATAGAAACAGAATCATTTTCTCGAAAGGATTAGTCTCTTGCACTTACGAGGCTGAATGCGTCTATTACTCGCTACGAAAATCGGGAATTGAATGAATAAAATCCTTATTCTTATAGTGTTGCATTGAAATATACTAACGAAACCTATACAGAAAATTCACTGGCCACGGAGGACTTTATTTAAAAGCTAATTATTGTAAACTATACATTTCAACCACAGAAACGAGTTTCTCAACAATTCCACCCTTATATAAGATTGCGGGAATAATTGCGCCGGGCCGGAGGGGTTTCCTTTCGCGTCGCGTTTTAATTTTAATTATTTCCACATCGGCGGAGAGAATTAAAAAACCGCGCGGAAATCGTTTTTCGCAAGGCGATATCAATTTCCAATTAAGCAATAAAATCGGCGGAGGAGCACCCTTTCCAGAAACAAGCGCGGCAAAAAGAAGAAATTAAAAGGGGCACCGATTGGAAACGGATCTCGCGCTCGATCGCACACACGGAATATTATCGAAAATTCGGGTAATCTCGCCTCGATAATGCACGATTTTGATTCCTTATAATTTTCCTCCCGAAGATGTTTTAATTTCGAGGCGTTTCGAGGGTTTAAACAGGGCGTATTTTGAGTAAAAAAATAGTGTCTTTTTTTAAAAATCACCCCGAAAAAGGGAAAATTCGCTTTAAAAAACCATCCCTTTGTTTGCCTCGGTTGCCTTTTGTCCGTATTTTTCTCTACTGATTAGAGTGTATTTAATCAATACGTTAAAATTAAAACGGAACAAACGAATCCCATTTGACTTGACCTAATTTAAAAATAGGGGGGCTCCCTTCAAGGTAAAAAATATCCACGGTATCTCTCATTATTATTGTTTAATTATCTTAATTAAACGCTTATCAGAGTTGGCTTAAGAACGTTATTACTCGATTCTCTGAAAACTTATTCTATACCTATCCGAGGTGGATTACTTACCTTAGGGAAGTTTCGGAGCTTATTTCGAATAGTAAAATAAATAACCGGAAGCTTATATAAGAAAGTTTCGTAATTGTTATCTGCAGTTCTGAGTGCCAACTTTTACGCTTTTAATTTTACCCGGGCTGGAGAGGGCGGCTGCTTAAAATTGGAAAACTCGACGAATGCGATATAAAAATTTATTTATTCCGTGAATTAACGGGGAGTTTCGCGCGAGTATTTCAGATGGATTTTTAGCGATTAAAAAAGTGGAAAAAAATGAAGAAGCCGTTTCTCGTCTAATATAATAATCAGGCGCCCGGAATCCTATTTATATTTAATCGGCGAACTTCCGATCGAAAATCCAAATGGAAATCCGACGATATAACGATAAGAAAATTCCGTTTCGTTTCGAGAAAACTCCGGGACGGCCCGGAAGAATGGAGAACGCGTGAGCGACTTTTCCACTATCGCTGAATAAATTTCGATAAGGAGTTTTAAGAGAGACAAACCGACCAGATCGGGATATCCGATCAGGATCCTCGCGTTTCCGGTCAATAGAAAATGAGTAAATCCCCCGAGTTGATCGCCTTCCTTTCAGCCAAAAAAAACCGCTTACCATTCGCTTTATTCACCCC